ATATATAGTCCAACTTTATATATTGGATAATACGTTAAAAGACCGTAGGTATAACTGCAAGAGAGCAAGCTATAATCTACACATTCTAGCAATGCAGACGGAGCTCTGACTATTGACATTTGTTGCCGTGAAATGTTATAAATTGATTATGTATTTTTTAAAAAGCATGGAAAAATGCACGATTAATCAACCTTGCACTTCGTCTCCCGATCGACTCGTAGCGCGAACCCGCCCTTCTCCGAAATGTGCCTCTGGGACCGTGCAGTTATAAATGGAACTCGCGTTACCTTTCAAATAGTGTCGGTTCCAAGAGCGTCAACATACTCGTGTCTTCGCACGCAAGATTTGACTTCGTCCACAAGAACTTCCTCAATCGAACGCTACCCTTTAACGAGCTGGTTCGTAAAATATTCATTTCAACAGAAAAAAATATTCTATGATTACCCCTGTATTCGTCGTCACAGTATACTGTTATCATCCTAAACGTCTTTCTCTTTGTATATTCTGATTTGGTCTTATGCTAACTGACATGTTTGTTGTTCATTTATGCTGTTATCTTGTACAGTGTGTAGTTTCGCTAGAATGTATATTTATTTCGATACCAGAGCTATGATAACAATACTTATATTCACTATAACCTATATCAATAAGAAATTATGTATTCCTATATTGCATTGCTATGCATTAATATCTAGCAGATTCAAAAAATAGGTGTTTTTTACATACAGATTAGACGATGTTCGGGAATGGGTAAACACACTGGAGATCATTTTTTATCGGAACGGGAGTTTTATCAACTTCGCTCACCTGACGATCGACAGGAGGATTTTTTCAAGAATCATAAAGGCCTGCAAGATGATTTTAAAATGCCAAATTTTATTCCTAAAGAGAAGCTCATATCGACGAACCTCAAAATAAACAGCGCTGATGTAATCACATGGACGCAATACGACGTGAGTAAGAAGTAGATAACTTGTATGATACAAAATTTATAACAATTATGCCCATTTATTGGTTTTTAGTAAGCTAATTATGATTACCAACCGTTATGATTATTAAACTTCGCTAGCCTGTCCTATTCGATGTGCTATATTTTATGGTGCATTAGGGTTACGTTAAATTAAATCCTTTTCTTTGTTAGGTTATGGACACGGTGTTGTGTCAGGTACAAGGCTCCCGTCGCGTAGTACTCTTTCCACCTCGTGATTCTTCTAAGCTCTACCTTCAAGGTGACAAATCGCTTGTGCTCGATGTTGACCAACCAGACACTGCAAAGTTCCCGCTATTTCCTATGGCACAACGTTGGGAATGCGAACTATCTCAGCCTGGCGATGTGTTGTTCATTCCGGCATTATGGTTCCACAGCTCAATCTGTAAAGATTTTGGTGTAGCGGTCTCATGTTTATGGCGCCATTTGGAACGAGACCAATACGATAAAAAGGACCCGCTGCATCATAAGGATCCGATGGCTGCTACTCGCGCAATGGACCTCCTAGCCAAAGCTCTAAAACAACTTGAGATCCTGCCAGATGACTATCGTCAATTTTACTATCGCATGATGATTAATAAAGTTAATGAGAAGTTGCCCAGGGATTTTGTTCAGTAGTACAGCAATACGATCGTCGCGAAAATGAAGACGAAACAATGTTATGGGTTTAATCTGATCGCACAATGTTCCTGACAGAAACGCTTCGCGTAGAAGGACTGCAGGATTCAATCAGTCGTGCTATATTGTCTCTTAAATTAAGCTATTTGCTCATTTATGAGCTTTTATTAAGTTTTAAGCAATGCGATAGAATCTAGCAATTGAAAAACAAGTAGCTTTTCACAAAAATTAACAAAGATACTAGTCGCTCCTTGAGAACGCTCTGTCTGCCATTTGCTACCTAAAAAACAAGCTCTTACATGATAGAGTCATTGCCGTACATTAGTAGATATACAGGCATATATATATATATATATATATATATATATATATATATATGTAGCACGGTATTTTGATGTCATATTTATGGAATCGAGGTGCATGAAACCAGTATCCATTCGTCAGGCTTAACATATGCACACAGGGTTTATAAAAAGTGTTGGATCCCAAAACTGAAAATGGCACTGCCATATCTAAGTTTGCAGCGCGCTAGTGCCAATAAGAATAATTAATGATAACTGTCAATGAACCGATTAGGTATTTATAAACTCTGTCTTTCGATAACATTTTTGGAAAATTTCAAAAAGAAAAATCTCAAATTTAATACATATAAATATATATGTATTAAATTTGAATCTCAGCCGTCTTAAGAACTTATGAGGACTTTTTAACATATCAACCCTGCGGGGTCTTGTCTCCGCGCAGTGGTAGTATTTTATTGATTGTACGTGAGAATTAGCTTCACTCATTTATTCTGCTCTCATTTTCGATTGAGTGCGTATGTATGTATGTATGTATGTATGTAATACACAATTGTATATTAGAAAATTACAACTTGTATTTGATGACATAAAGGTTCCGCGCAGTGAAAGCATAGCTATTATTATTTTTATTATCATTCTTACTCGAACAGTTGTCAAATCAGTTGGTTTCCGTGTGAATACATGTGGAATCAGTACATTAACTAGTAGTAGTGAGGTCTGTTAAAGGAAGAACCGTGGAATCATCAAATATAGAAAGTCAAATACGTTATAGATACATTCTGGCCATACTCCATAATTACCTGAGTAGCACTTTAGCTATGGTATAATTTTTGTCAAGCAAGATGTTCCTTCCGGGTTGTATTTAACACTGGGTATCACGATGACAACAATAGCTCGTTAGTCAAAAGCAAGCCTATGCATGAGTAATGACGAGGGGCGGCGGTGGAAAGGGCTAATTAACCAGTTTACTTAGAACGACAGTTGTACTAAAGCATTGTTGTACGCGTGTTACGCTTCGTTCGTTTATTTTTCTTCGGTAATACAGTCTCGTAAATACCTCTAAGTGCCAAGCAAAACTAATAGATGGAAAGCATTTCTGCTCACATGTGATTGTAATTTATTTCCTTCTGTAGTTATTTTCTATTGAACGAATAATTTGAACTAGTTTAAGTACTTACTAATATATGATCTAAATCTTCATCGGCTACTGTTTCGTTTCGCATAATTTGCCATCCATTTTTATTCGTGTAGTTAATTAATAAACAAACATGTGTTTCTGTGTGTATGTCTATGTAATTCTACTATGCTTTATTATACAATTTCATTTTTGTATAGAGTGCGCAGGTTTTTGTCGATTATTTCAAATAAATATATTTTTATCACTACATAATTAATACATTTGATAGTGTTGTGATCTTGTGATATGATTGATCTCATCGGTCGCTGCTGAAGCACGCAAGGATTGTGATGTCATATGAAGTGAAGGAGAAAACTGGCAAATAGACATGTTAGAAACGTCCAATGATAAGCCATTGCAATAATGATGATGTCAATGTGTATATGTGCAGGTATACATGAATGTAATTATTTCAATACTATTGTGACCGTACTGTAATTTATCTAACACATCATTCGCACTAACTCAATTTGAAAATAATCTGTAGATTATCGACGACGTGGTAAGGTGTCAAGTTTTTTTCCTTACTGAACGCCAATTGTATATCGTTGGTTGCGTACATCTCCTATCGCTAGATTAACCAAGTTCTCGATACACCTACTACGACGTCCAATGATTCCTCCGATCAGTTTAAACTCAAGGCAGGTTATTAGATGCAAATTGAAGCGTCATAATCAATCCTACCTGTATTGAATCGTTGTTGATTCGTACCTTCAAGTGACGCTTTCGCTGTAACGATGTACAAATTGGCCAGCTGAAATTTCCCAGTTCAGTTTTATAGGGTTTTCCATCTCTATTAGACTGTAAAGACTTGATTATCAGCCAAGACACACAGTGGCGATGTTGCTTATACAGTAATAACGATTTTACTTGGTCATAGACCATGACCCCTGGCTTTCAGCCGACGATGATATCAGAACAGCAAAAGCAGTGCTGACCCGAGAATATTAATACTAGCAGTACGGTCTCTCCTTTCTTTTACCGGGCATAGCCGCTTCTTATAGTATTCAACTTCCGATTTATTAGACTATGGCAGCTTGAAAGCGCTTGTAAACCTGATAAGTAATAGATTTAATCAGAACGAAAATGTATAATGGTGACCGTCCTTAACAAGTATTGAGTTGTGGAAAACTAATGCTACCCGGAGAGTGCTCGAAAGAACAGTAACGATCGCAGTAGTAGCGGTAGATTGAAAGAGGACTGAATTAGTAGTTTTGTTTGAGATCGGCTTGGAAAGGATGAAAAGTAGCTTTTCGATGATCGACAACAGATCGATCATCAAATCAATCAGCATATTCGATTGCGGGGTTAGCTATTCATGAAAGTTTCAAGAGAATGCGGCTCAGTCACTAAACATTCTCTGTGCTGTACATTGTGTAATGTATACTGTTGGCAGCGAAACGTAGAAATACACTCTCGAGCGCTCCTTAGAGACAGACAGAGTGCACAAAACGTATTTCGGCTAAATGACGTAGTATGTATCATACTGCAGAAGCAGGAGACGCACGGAAGTAGCACAAAATAAGAACCACAAAAAAGAAAACAACAGAAATACACAGAAAAAAATCAGCGGGCCTTTTATAGACCACCTTTGGCCTAAACGCAATAAACGTTTTTTAGGTCAATCATAATTGTGTTTTTATTATATAGATACTGGGTACAATAAATAACAAAGTATCAAATAGAAGTTGAAAAGCGTAGATTACCTTGAAGAGACGGCCCGCATATAGGTGTACGTTTCGGCCCACTTTGCGATGAAAAAAACTCACCTCAATGTCACAGTGAATCTGAGTTATTTTAACTTAGATTCACTATGACATTGGGTGAGAAACTTCATGATTCAGATACCACTATATATAGGGCTATGAAATCAAATTCTTCCGTTTACTTTGAGAACGGTTAGATTACTGAAAAAATGTGGCTATACAATCTATCGGTAATCTGATATAGTTCACCTAATGGTGCATTAAATTTTCTGATTGTTACCGCTTTCGAGATATCAATACGAACCTTTTTATTTGATGTCTGAAACATCGTTCCGTAGATATCTTCATTTAAAATTTGTCTTTAATTAAAAATTTATTTAAAATTGATGCTGGGCGGATAATCCCGTTTCTTTTTATAATAGTTACTACAAATATAATATAATAATTATAACCTATAATTATTATCAAGTGCATTCGTTGTAGAGCTTTTACTATAGTTTTACTTGTTAGCAGATTTGAAAACTATACAAAATGTCTCATTTCGTGGAGAAACTTCATGAGATCTAACACGAATCATTATAGCGGGCTTATTTTGCATGCGAATAATATTTAGGTAATAAATTACTGAAAATAATCTTTTTACAGAAAAAATTTAATAAACCAAACCCGTAAGCAATTGACATTTGTTGCCATCTAGTTCCGATGGAAGATTGGGAAGAGCCACTGAAGGTAGTCATAGGGAAAGTTGTACGGTTAATACACTTTACACACAATCATGTTCGAGACACCAGCCCCAAACAACAAAAATATTCAACGTAGTGGAAAAATGTCAATTAAGAAGTCTTTTAAAATGTAAATATGAAGATGTTTTCCAAATGTAATGTATTTTAGACTTGTTCCATGAAAAAAGTGGTAATTTCTTGGAAGGATATATCTTACAACACCAATACTGCCTGAAATTACGAAGAATTTTATGTTCTCTCTTTTTTAACTTCGCTGAATATCACCGGACCTCATGCAATTAACTGAGTATTCCCTTTATCTACAATAGTATATCTACATATCTTAAGTTTCTACTACTTCCAAATCAGACGGTCAGATCATTCAATAACTAGGCGGTTGGTTTCTGGTTAACCTACCACTACTACGGATAAATACTACTACTAGATTTACTGCTATTAGCTCGATCCTAGCATAAATGTCTGCAATAATTAGCCATGCCCACCTGAGTTTGCTCCTTGAAAGCTCCTTCGCTTTTATTCTAAAGATAATATAACTTTATCGTGTTAACAAAATGCAAAAATTATACCTTTCATAGGTTCCGATGTTTTCATTTCTTTATTATCCGCATAAAATTTCCTCTTTACACTTGCTCATAATGTTTTCGGACACTATCATTAGTTGTCTATATAACTTGAAACAGCTAGAACTATCCCATTTTTTATTACACATTTACTTCTGGCCAACACGAGTTCTTTTATTCCACGAAAAATTATCCCCATAGCTTTTTTTTGGGTTACGTCTTGGAGCAGGCTCCTCAACAAAGTAGGTCCATCCGTTCTTTTCGCAAAAAGCAATCGCCTGCTCCTTGGAAGTAAATTGGGTACGCCTAAAATACAGTTATGTTTATTACTATTCATTTCAATATAAAATATTGCATATAGCAATTTGTAGAGCAAATGGAGAAATCATTTTCGAAAAACTGCTTTTGCTCGTCCTTGTAAGGGCCCTAGATACCCTCTAAAAGCTGGCTCAAATGCCATTTAAAATCTACAATAATTTTAAGAATTTCATATTGTTTTAGGTCTATATATAAGCAGTCTTACATATTTGAGAGGGGATCGCCAGTGGAGGTCCATCCCATGAGGTTATTCGTCCATCTCTCTCGGTTTTCGAATTCCATCTCCCATTTGTCGGTATTTGCCGTTCCGGACTGCATCGCGCTCTTCGTCGGAACAAAAATACGCACCATTCTAAAGAGAAAAAAGCCGCAGTACTGTAGCTTACGAAACACAACAGTTAGATCTTTCCGCAAGTTTGCTACAGACCTGGCTGTAGACTGCAGGTCTGGTTCATATTCGGACCTGAACACACTAATGCATATGTATTTATAAGACCTTATAGATTATACTCAATTTTCTGTGCCAGGTAATTTTGTGAAAAACATAGCGTTAATAAATATAATTACGCTTAGTAATATTTCAGTATCGCACAAAATGTTTCTTATAGTGAACACAAACTGTAGCCCCCGTTGCACTTACGCATATACGCATACTCGATCGATACCAGTCTCCTCTTTACTAACAGGTGTTGATTGCTAAATTAAGGTAAAAGTCTACACTGTCTTGCATTATTTGCCGTTAGCAGACATTTTCAACGTTCACCTTTAACGTACTAACCTGTTTGTAATATGCTCCTCTGGCACCCCCGTTAACGAGTAGATGGGGGCTTCAGCCTCTACTTCTATATATTCTTTTTTCCTCTCACGAACCAGAAATTCGTTGATGTCCTTTGGAACTAGCGCTTTCGCGTAACCTCGCACGCTTGAGCTTCCAACGGTCGCCCGCATCAGCGGGAATGCCCTGCCCAAACATAACTGCAATGGGTCTCGCATATTAGATTTTTCCTTTACCCAGTGCATTACTTACTTTTGGCAAATGAGCTATTACGCAAGATAGAACTCTTATTTAAAAAAAAATTATACTTTTTAAATCCCATATTAATAAGGCAACGAGTTTAGCTGCGTAATTGCAATTAAAAGATTAGCTAAATCTGGTACAGATCTGGTTATACAGTACAACTGTCTGTTATCATATTTTATTTTTGTAACCGTTAGTTGGGTGGATCCAAAAAGGACATCAAGTATCAAATGTTTGACACAAAAAAGCTATTGCATAAACTATCACAATATCTGTACTTGTCGCATAAGATGCCAATTTTATGCAACCCTTAGTCTTATGCATTCGATAATTTAGGTACAGACGCACGCTGATTATCCTGTTAGTTCTTTTAAATATAGCATCATAAATGCCATCTGTAATTAAACAAAAGCTAAGCCAGGATTGCAATCAGATTAATCTCTGCGTGCCTAAAACGTATCACAGTTTCAACTAGGATTTGAAACATTTTCCAGTAGCCTTTTCTACTATTTAATACAGTTCCATTCGATGATATAAAGGATTCTCTTTGAAGCAAATAAGCCTGAAAATAATAAACAACGTTTTACAGTAAACTCATTAACAGGAACATTCATGAAATAATAGAACTTAAGTTCAAATTAATCACCTACCACACTTTATACTGCATACTTTATTCACTCAGACTTCAGCAATTACGTTAGACGTTCTTGATATTTTTCAGTAAGTGGAAGTGATGCTCTTTGATTATTTTCACTTTGACCTACCTGTCGCAGGGACGCAGCCATGTTTGCTTCTGTTTCGTGTTTTGATTCCAATTCGACGTTCGACGTATGTTAATGTTTTTGTTGTATTTCCTTACCAGCTGTAACAAAGCATCTCCTTTCCGCCTGAATTCAGCTGCTGTGTAGACACTTTGCAACCTATCGCAACTGGCCGTCGGTACGATCGTAGCGAACCGCAGCTACGTTTCCGATAGCTGCTGTTGAGCTGCGGCTAAGCCATTGAACTATAAAAAAAGACGGGCTGGAGACAGGCGACAAAATAGATATCTCTCGAATCGCTGCGCGCTACCCGTCCATAGCTTAGGTCAATAAGTGCGTGCGGACGAAAAACGTAATTCTCAAAATCTTGTTGTGTGAGGAGAATTTCCTGTGCGTGTATACATGTGTGAGCCATCCGTCTGGTTATGTTAGGCTGTTCCACAAAGAACATTTCGTCTGATATTTTTCCGAAAAGCAGTTGCAGCTGGTCTTCTAGTTAGACAAAATTTTGGAGCTATAATAGTGAATTGTGTGGCATGTAAACGATGCTGGTGGGTGACGGCTGGTGCATGAAATTCAACTGGACTGCGACTTCAGTAACCGGATAATGATAACAGAGATGAAGTTGTGATGAGTAATGCAAAAACTGCCAAACAGGTGAGGACCGCAAGAGTCCTGCCGGTAAGTAAACTACAGTCGTGATCGTAACAAAGTTGGAGGATTGCATGTAGATAAAATTTCGGAGGCATTATCAACCAGCTGGCTAATTGCTGATCTTTAGCGCATATGGTGTTTAGTTTATATACACATTCGAAAATAACATACGTGGACAAAGGTGGTTCTTAATGGCGTAAGGTTTAGAGTTACGCGTAATAATTATAAGGAATTGTTTTAGGAATGTTATATACATATATATAATTTGTTTCATTCGCCCCTTCGTATTCCTAAGCCCTAAGCAGAGCTACGGAATTATGTGTTGTTGAAACATTGACATAGAATACGCTGGTAAAAAAGTAAGGGACACTGGAATATAATCTTTATACCGCCTTTTTTCCTAAATCTTCTAAAGCGTCTACAAACTGAAAGTTGTGAAAGACACACGGATTCGAAAATTGTTGAGAATGTAGCACCGATTATGGAGCAATCTGCATTACATATACATATGTGAATAATCTAGTATTACGAGTCATGTGGTTGAATTAAAACAATCAGTTGAAACCATGTTCGAGTTTTGCTTTTGGGGTATTCTAGTAGTTGAAATTTCTCTAGATTTCGCTATGACCTGACCAGTAGTCGATGACCAGTGTACAATAACAAAATCGTTGGTACTGATATGAGTGCGTAGCTAGTCAAAATATCACAAAATATCTGTCGGATCTGTAGACAGTCGAACAGACAAGTATTTGTCCATCTAAAAAAAAAGATAGACTACTTGATCCCGTTCCGGTATCAGGCGTCTCTAAAATGATACGGAATATATCTCTATTTAGGTTACAGCAATAGAACTAGATGAAATGTAACACAGCCATTTAGATCTTAAATGGAGAACGGTAGACTTGTTGTTAGGATGTCATAAGCGAACCTGACGGACTTTACAGGAACTTTTGAACCACGCGCCGCCAGACGACGAATTCGGCTAGTAAATACTTTAATTTTCTAAAAACTTGCCAATGAAAACCAGTCGAATTTACTTCGGTGCATGTTCATGGTAATGGCGGTACTTGCAATAAATACCAGGGGCATCTGCTACAATGTTAAAAATGAAATAATGGGTAAAGCTCGGTATCTCGAAATTCCTAAGAGACGCATAGAACATCGGCGTGGCTATCAAAAGCAATCAGTCAGTCTGGTTACCTTATAATCGGGTTAGACTTCAATCAGTTCCTGGTTTAAGCAAAGGAATATTTAACGTTGACATCAGTCGGCCTATTCTCCCAGTCTAAATCTATGTGTTTACGGGGCTTTCTACGCACTAGGAAGGGCAACTGATGAACGAGAAAGACTCATATCGAAAAGCCAAAAATTGCATATGGAAACTCGAATGATAGATATACTGTTGTTTCGAAGTCATCATAGCGTTGGAACAAGTGAGTGAAAAATAGAAATGATTTTTTAATATGTGTTGTGGGTACTCATCTTTTAAGCCTCATCAGTTCCAAATTAAATTTGAAGGTTCGAGCGGATCCGCTTGCAACAGCATAATATAATTTCTCCTAATCATACGACGCTTCAACGATAAATATTTCTTTTCCAACTGAAACAATGTAACCCCTGGGGTGATCGGGCAAAAGCCGTTCAGTTTTTCATAGCGGGTGACAGCGAAATTGACATACCAAGAGATTAAGCATAATCACTCTAGCCCAACCAGCTCAATAGTTATTCGATTTTAAACTTTGCTGGATTTGCTTGTAACTAACTAATAATTGATATATAGTTACCGTTTTTTCTATTGCTCAGACTTTAACGTGATATAACTGTTATTATGACTATATGTATGTGCATATGTAATGATGAGTTAATATAAGATTTTTATGAATAATTTGGCATATAAGTTTGTAGGTCAAGCCCAGCAGGAGATTACAGAATAGGAATAAAACTCTTCCGCTGGCTGCAAAATACGGGGCTGATATTATCGCGCAAAGAAGCTCTTGACTATCGGAGCTGTCTTTACGAATTACGTTTGTTTTTCATCAAAGACAACTTCTCGAACTGCGTGACAAATTTAAGTATGATAACATGCGATATAAGTTGTTCATAAAGTTCAATCGTTAGTGGCCCAACATCCCTTAGATCATGGGCTAACTCATGAAAAATTAATAATGTTGAGGTGCACTAAGCAAAGCTCTGATTATTGAACCGTTTAAGAATAAGCAAAGATTCACCCTGCATGTAAATAATTTTATTTTCAGTAACTCTCACCAATGGACCCACTGAAAACCTTCGAAAAGAGGTTGCTCTCAGGCAACCTCATCGACAGCACAAAAATTAAAACAAATCGTGAGTATTTGTTATCCTTCGTCTTATAAATTATATTTGCCAGATGCATACAGATAGTGTTTTTGTGATTATTATGACCGCAAAATTATCTATAGGTAGGGCTTAATTTACTTGATGTAATATGAACATCCTTATGCATAAAATCCATTTCATATTTAAGGCTATTATCATGAAACATTATCTATAAAAATTCATCTGTATTGATTAGATACATACACAATCCGTCAAGGAACATGCGGCCATATTTTTTCTGTAGTAAACGCATTCAGTTTCTAGATAACGTATTATATTACGAAAGCAATTATTTCAATGCACGTCGTGTAAATATTAATCCACATTTGAAGCAAATTCTAAAGCCACTTACAGTGATCAACTTTTTTAAGCTGTGGGTCAATGCTAGTTTGTCAGGTACGCACAATTTGCTTATATTGTTTAACATGTAGCTTATTGCTAATGTGCAACTATAAGCTCAAAGTGACATTTCCTTGGGTAAGATCTTATATGATATGCTATGAAAGTTCTTCTATGGTCCAACGTTGTTAACAATATACACTAACAGTTTGCCTTTAGCTCTTTATTAAGCAGCCAGCCTTTGAACCAGTATCACTTTGACTGCATCAGTCAGTTAAAAACCACAGGTCAAAAATACCGGCAATAAGAGTTACCGATATGAGGTCGTTGTATTAGGCCTTGACCTGTTGAATTTGTTTCTTTTTAGCCAGACCCTAGTCTGGAGAAGTCCGGCAAAGTGTTAATTTATATATCTATGTCTCTTTAAGGTCCTGCGTGGCTTTGTACGCAGCAAGTTCCCAGATTGTATCGAGAGTTGGAAGCAATGGTTAGCGTTCCCACCTCTCACCCCTCAGGGGCTGCAGGAGTACCGACATCTCCATTAGACACCAGTCTAGTATATCAACTGCTTCTCGCTTCAGGCCTACCTCAAACAGTTCTGGCGACACTATGGGATCAGTGCTCTCGAACGGCTCCTGGAGTATTACTGCAGCATGAATTCTATCAGGCTTTGGCCTTAGTCGCTGTCTGTCAGGTCAGTGCAGTACCGCGGGTATAAGGTGATCGGTCGCATATACTGTTGCTGAAGTCGAACTTCTTAAATACATCGTTAGCATTCGAATAAATGCTAATTTCATTTAGCACTCCTTCATACGCGTTTTTAAGCCTGCATACATCTAGGTAATGTATTTGTACCAAAGTTATTACTGCTTGTTGTAGATAATTTATGATAGTTTAATATTAACAATTGCGTACCTTTAACCTATGTGAATTTGAACGCAACTTTCAGAAAGGGCATCCTCCAAATCCTACTTTGCTCCTCAGTCTTCCGCAAGCACCCTTACCCCAGTTGGCTATTGCGGGGTATCCGTTACCGCTAACGACACCAATAGTATCTCCAGAAGCATCGGTTGAATCAGCATCTCATCCTCCGATAGGCGGAGCTGCAGCGATGCCATCACTGTATCAGCCGATTTCAAATGCTACAGATGTTATGTCAAACGCTTCGCTTAAGCATACAAACACCGCAACGCAAGACGATCCTTCAAGACTACATAATTCTGCGTTAACTTCAAGTCCGGTTTCCGCCGTGTTGTTAAATGGTGAAAAATCGTCAAATATGATGTCGGTAACGGGCGTTGACTGGGCTAGTAAAATGCAACCTTCTTTAATGGATAATAATGGTACTAACAGTAGTATGAGCAATAGTTTATCCACGACAAATGAAATGTTTCAAGGTCCCTCTGTTGCTTCAGCGGCGTCGCAACAGCCGACAAAAGATGCCCTCGAGGGCATCGTTACTGGTGACAACACTGACGATGATGATTTCGGTGATTTTGCTGATTTTCAATCCGCTCCTGTGGGGAAGTCACAATCACTTCAAGCTCCTGCTCCGAAGACGGTTGAAACGCTCGAGTCTTCATTCGCTGCATCACTACTTGTTGAAAGACATCAAACAAAGGATGTTATTACCTCAAGTGTCGCCACTTTGGGATCTAATGGTGGTCAACTACCTATTATAACACCGGACTTGTTTTCATTTGATATTATATTAAACGGAAAAAAAAAAGAACTTCGGTCACATGAAGCTGTTACTAGCCAAAGGAACACTAGTTTAAAGAAAAACGAGGAAGTTATTGAACCCAAGGCCAGCAGAGATGTGATCCCGCTGCCGAAAGCAAAAACCGATGGTTCGACAAAAGCAACCGCAGCTATGCCTAAACCTACGCCATTTTCTACGTTTCCTTCTGTGCTACCGTCGCTATTCAACTCGATAACAGTGCAAATGACGGAGACTGTTCAGCCGCCTACGGAACCGAATCCGTGGTTACACTATCCATTACTAGATCAGGAAACATCAAGTTCGGCTGGCTCAAAAGATCGAAAAACGACTACGATTAAGAAGCCACGCGACGTTGAGTCTCCGCTTAAACCAACTACTTCTCAAACGTGCACAGCTAAGACAATCGCGAGTTTCCCAACAGGAATATTATACAAATGTGCTAGTGCAGACGATGATGAATTTGATGAATTCGCAGATTTCCAAAGCGCTCCCTCTGAAAAAGTTACTCAAAGCGCTCTGTTAGGCTCACCGGAGAAACAATCAAAAACTGAGCAGTATTCTGAAACAAATCCAGCTGATAAATACTCTGTGTTTCGGATGTTGGAAACGGATCAACCTGAATCAAAGACGCATGAACAAGAAGATATGCTGCAAAACAAGATATTTTTAAAAAATGGCACACTGGACGCCTTCGACAACGAAAATGAGTTATCCGCTCAAAATGACACAAGTTCGAAAGTTGATATTCTAGCCTTAATGAAGCTGCCCACAGTGCCCACCATAAGCCTTGGTGATGAATTAAGTATCTTGGATTCGTTGACTATCTCATCGAAAGATGCGAATGCAAAAAGCTCTGCAATAGATGAACTTCAGGACCTTGATCTGGGCTATTCTATTATTGATGGGCAGGTCGCCGCTCAAGCTGTGAATTCCACTCCGGCGTCACCGGCAAAGTCCATCGTCTCTATTGGTAGCATTGGAGAGTCGCGAGGTAATCGTCGTCTGTCACTGTTTAACAAGGCTAACTATTCCGAGTGTGCTTCCCTGTCCAGCTTCGAGCTGGGACCGAACACGGAAAGCAATGGGTCATCACCAACTAAGGGGTCAATTTTATCTCTTGAACTCAATTCGCCCAGGCGAACTCTACCCGAAGAAGGGATCGACGAGAATGATACTCTTGAATGGAATATCGATGGTACAACAGTGGAACCTCGAGGCAACGCGTCTACCTGCAGTAACCTTGGGATGACTGTGCAAGCGGAAAACACAAAGGCTACCGATGAATTTTGTTGGGCGCAGCCTCCGATATTCCCTCCGCCAGACCCCACTACGGACTTCAGTAAGCCATCATCGGCCCTTCAGGATCTCACCGGACTTTACCTACTTCACTATCCCAATACGCAGGTGCAGGAAGGGAAAAGAAATGTAACGAAGGAACAGGTAGCGGAAAGCTGGGCGCGAGTTTTAGGGAAGGTGGCCGCTGTACTTGAAACTGCAACCCATATTTTGGGAAACGATCGAGGCGTGTTGACTGAAGTATTAGCAACAACTAAGGGGCAGAGATACGCGTCAAGTTTACTCGAAGTGTACAACGTCAGTCAGCAGATCAAAAAAGCAGCAGTTTTGTTCAATGTTGACGGAATAGAGGGCCCATTGGAGCAGGTTGAGAACGCTTGGCGTCGACAATTAGAAGACCTCACAGTCAGATTGGGCTTGGTAAGTCAGTGTAATAATAATAAACTTGTTATGTGCTTTCAAATTTTGTTTTTCAAACTCTATTGTGAGTATAGCCGTGTGTGTCGCTTGAATGGAAATGTTTTTCTAGACGCACAAGTTGTGCGAAAAGACGCGAGATATGAGCTCTGTTTAGAAACTAAGTCGCCTCTAATCAAGTGCGGAAATCTTACATTTTTGCTTGACTTCTTCGTGGGTCCATTGCAGAGCGTCATCTGTTTGGACCACCTCCTCACGCCACTCCAGTCTTCAGCGGACACGTGCGCAGTATGTTTATTACCTTTGGCTTTGAGACCGCGCCTGCTTTTCGGTGACCATGCTTATCATGCAACTTGCGCCAACTTCTGGGCCAACGTTCTAGCAGAGGGTCTTCCTTGCCTGAAACTATATTGATTCTGCACTTACTATATATGGAAGAACTTTCTCAACATGCTTCATCAGCAAATATTCCAAGGCTGCATGCTCAAAATATTCCCGGGTACATGCAGTTCTATTTAGCTAAATTACAGTGTAGAATAATGCAACTAGTATTTTTTCCTTGTACATGCCACTGCCTCAAGAAAGCTAATCGTCTAAAAGGCAGTTATGAAATGTACGTGACGAACCTGCGGGCGCTGTGTTGTTACCTTTCCGCTGGATCTAATCGCGACTGTAAATACGTATTTCCAAATGTTTCAATGAAGTTCAGACGCCCAGAAAGTGCGCACAGACGGTTTACAGCGACTGATACGATTAATTCTGTCTAGCTTGTAAATATACATACATTGAGATTCACTACAGATTGGTTAAGGTGAGGGAAACAGAGACATCATCTAGAGAGTTGTATTGTTTTCAACATTGTTCGTCTTAATTGGCGTTAATTAGGCGCGATTTCTTATAACGGCATATTCAGCCGAGCGATACAATGCGATTCGACGTGTCTACAAATGCACCGCACACATTGGACAGTACTCTCTGGTGGTACAGCGTTACTTTATGGCAGCACCATGCACTAGAATAGTGAACTCCCTAGGATCAACCCAAAAATTGATAAATTTATTTAAAATTAGATAAAAATTAGAAAAAAAAAATTTTTTTACTAGATTAACGGCTTCTTTATCGTTCATACCATACAGTTTGCATTTTTCCTCGCCCGGAGTCTATAATTCCAGAGAGAGAGAGTTGGAGTACGCGACGCCAATGACATCAACGATTACTGTATGCAAGTTAGACGTGGTGGCCAAGGCATGAAAAATTTAATAACGGCATGACGTATGTGGCCACAGACGTCACTCGTTGTGCAGTTGGAGTTCCCAGATGCACAGCAGAAGTTACTTCGCGGACAACCAATTAATGATGAGAAGTTGTGCTTACCTATCATCATATAATGCACGTATTGAAAAAAAAAAGCCAGAAGACAGGAAATCGGAAGAACTACATTAATTTAAAAAAATATTATTCATATTTTCTCGACGAACGTGCACAGCAGTTTTACTAATGCACAAAAGCATATCTAAGCTACAACTATGGTATAGCACACGGAATAACAACTTTGAGAAAAATCAATTATGAACCTACGTGACTACCAAGTATTTGCGCAACCACTAATAAAAAAAACAAAAAAGCAAGACGGGATAAACAATTATGTACAACATCGTACATCTATGTACGTAGGCAATGTAAGGCAAAGAGTATCAACATGACAGTATATAGATGAAAAGACAGATAGGATGGAAGGTGTAAGGACGGAGCAACAGCGGGTTTAGGTAAACGAGGAAAACCTAGTTAGCTGTATAATGTTTCAATAAACCTGTGATATAGCTGTGAGCCCCTGCTTCTTATTTATGATATTACTATCGTTCACTCATGGTTATAATAAAATTAGTGCGTTTTATTAATGATCTAGCACATATGAATACCATTCTTTTACACTAGTACAGGGAGGATTCTAACCCTCGGTCTAGTTTTGGGGCCAGCGAGGTTAAACGTAGCGATATTCCTGGCAACAAAGGGAGGTCAACTTTAATATTGGCATAACCAGTCCGAACGAGCTAAGTTTTACAGACATTTACTTGAGAAATTATTTTCCATATACTTGTTCTCTTGTAGGAATTTCGAGAGGACCTTTTTCTTAAAAGGTTAAAATTAATCGCCTTGTAACTTTTAATATACAATAAAAATGTGTACATGTGCTTTAAAGGGCTTTCGGTAACTCACTATTTACGCTATCTGTAATACTGGAAATCGGTCTACTTGTATAGTTCGTCTGATATAATCACAAAGCCACTAATTAAAAAATACAATACATGTATGGATAAAACGAGAGCTGTATCTGTGTTTATTACTTTTTAAATAATAAAAACATTGCCTACCATGATAGCATTTGCACCATTATTGTCGTATGTTATGTCATGGCTTTCTTTCTTATTTCTGCACTCTTCTTCTTTTCTATTATTTAATCATTGTTAAATTAATCAATCAAATAATCAACCAACCGATTTCATAGAGTACCACCAGCGTACTCTCAATACATGTTTGCACTTCCTTTCTCTCATTATTACTCGTTATGATTTGTTTAAAATCATTTCTATACGTTATCTTGCTTATCTGTTTGAAGTTCATCGTATTTATCTTGTTATTACTCGACGTATATTCTGTTCGATAATATTATTGTAATCCCGTTATCGTTCTTGTCTTTATATTAAATCAGGCGTCACTGCTTGGTCACCGTTGCTGGCTATTAATGACGTCCGTTGTAATTATAATTATTAATAACCCACAATAGAACTTCCATATTTACAACATAGTCTGGGAATCTTCTGCATTTCCTGAACAACATGATAGCAATAATAATAATGGTTACTGTGCTTCGGTCCTAGCCATCATCATCATTATCTTCGAGTTCGTCCTTTGTCTGCTGTCCACCTTTCCTTGCAACCCATTTTGTAACTACCAGATTCCAGATTTGTCATCGTAGATACCTCATAGTTATTTCTATTGGTGATACGTCCTATCCAGACGCCACTAATACGGTCACTTTATCGATTTTTCGGTTTTCATCAATTACTTACAACTCATGGTTTACATCGTCACATTGAAGAAATAGTCCTACGTATATAGTTTTCGTATTGTTGGCAATATTTATGACTACGTTGATCACTACATGGATCGTCACTTTAGACATATAACCACTATTATTTATCGCAACTGTGAGTTTTACAATTTTCAAAATATTCATTATCACCAATAATCCTTTTACTAACTGAACAACTAACTTTTTTTCTTCATTTACTAGTTTTCTTCAATTATATCAAATTAGATCGTTATTATTCACGTGGTAATTCGTTCTATCTGTGTATATTGATTTACTCCGTTTACACACGCTTTTTCTGTTTGTCTTTGAGTAATTTAGGTTAACCCTCGTTTTTTTTTTATCGTACCTTCGCATCATTATTGGCGCTGCCCTATGTTACAAACTGACAGGGCTGAACGTCAGTTTGGTCAAGTAGTGATTACGATATAACTAGTCCTAATAGCGTTATCAGACATATCATACTATAAGTTCATTAGAACGGGGTAACGCCTTACATTTTCATGGTATTATTTATCACTTTTTCCTGTTTTGTTAACTTTGCCTCGAACGCTACGATCAACTAATCAATAGAGCAACCCACCCGATCGGATAAAAAACATGCAGAAGCGATGTAGCCATTTTCCCCTAGAGAAAATGATATTTTTCAATTAGCCAGTCGGTCGTCTCAGCAAAGGCTAAGACATTTTTTATTTCCATCTGCAGAGATTCTAAAAAACGAGAGTAACGTTCGGAAAACATCGGCTGCATCAATCGTGTAGCGAAACATTTGCTATCGATGCCAACCTTTGTTATACGTTTTTATCGTTGACGGGCATTATCTAATAGACCATTCCGATATTTTGACTATAAATTATTTTTCAAATGTACTTCTATATGCATTTTCTTTAGTTGAGGTGAAACTGTGCTTTTTTTGCTATATTTTGTTCTCTTTTTTTTTACAGACATCATTCGCATGCTCTTCCTTATTCGTCTTAAAATAATCGTAGTTTGTCATTTTTTTGCTTCCCACAGCTAACCTCCTACAAACTCTTTTGCTTAACTAGAGATGCTTTGTATTTTTGGAAACTCTACACTTCTAACGTCTTTCTCTTCAATTCTTTAACTTTAACCTTCCTTCTATCTCTTTTTCTAGGTATTTTCATTTGCCTACGCCATAGGTTTGTCTGCAGTGACGCGCCTATTCATATAATTTTTACCATCATCATTGTTTCACTCGTGCGCGCCTTTTTTTGTATATGTGTATGTCTATAAGCGTCAGCACATCACCTTCATAAGGACCAAAACACAGCATTCAGGCTGGTACGTATTTCACTAACCTATGCTATTGATATCGCCACCGCATGTCATTAGTAGAACGATCGACCAATACAGCTAGACTGCCGTCGTCAAGGAAGATCTACAACAATTCCGTCTACGTGTAAGTAGGCTTGTGGTGGTTTCAATGTTTGCCTCTGTATATAGATTTTTCCGCAACGGAAAAAAATTTATCTGTTGTAATTTTCGTTGTGGCGGTTGTTGTTTGTGTGCCTGTTTCCTAAAGTAGTTTCCGGTCTTGCCTCTACTGATCTTAAGATTGTGTAAAGTTACATAGGTTTTCTGAGACATTAGTCCATTATAGACAGATAAATCTTGCCGTTGAAGGGTTATCGGGCATCGATACTCGTTGCTTCGCCGACCGGTTGGAAAACATTGCAGGTAACATTACCTAATCAACGCTCCTCCTCGGTTTTTCACTCCAGAATTACATACCAGGACTTGCGACGCATTTCAAGGAAGAATAAGGAGTTTAGCATCGAGTTTCATAAAGACCAGAGCGACCGATATATCGGACCCATTTAATGACGTCATGGTCGCTGTAATTCAGTTTCGACTCGAATACCTTCAGGTAGCGAACTTTAAGCCCAGAGGGAGCATAAGACACCTGTGAAAAGATACAATAATAAACATTGGTATGTAGTGAAAGGATTCGAAATTATCCTGGCAGACTGAGCTTTTTTTGCCTCGTTTGCGTAGGTGACGATAATTATTTTACTTAGTATTATTGTAACGTCGAAGAATAATCGCCATCATCGTCGTACTAAAAACCCCTAAACTGCTGAAAGGCTAATAAGATGCTGTAAAACCATATTTTTCCCACTTTTCATAGAAGCATAAGGCTAATAAATAGTTTAACAACGTATGATCGTTATAAAAAAATCGCTTTTTTTAATGCGGTATATTTTGAAAAAACTGTACTACTAAAATGCTATGATTCATATAGTACTTTACGGTAACTACTCGACATAATAGTACGCGTGGTATATTAACAAAATTGTACATACCTCGAAGTTCATAGAAATGGGTGGTCGGTTCCATTTTTTCTTGGCGGCTTCTGAGTGTAGAAGTTCAACTTCGGCACTGAGCTGTGTCTCTTTCATGCCGGCCATTCGTTTGATTTTCCAGACGATGGCGTTCTCACTTGACTTGTATTTCGCTTTACCCTTCATACAGATCAATTGTACGCCTGACGTGTTTAGCGGTGTAGGGATACGGACCTCAATTTTCTGGCCGATGACTGATGGCCTAAAGTTGCTCTTGAGTACTACTTTCACCTCCATTTTGGTGCGACCTACTTCCCGAACAAGAGGAATTACTCGGAAAGGAAATGAGATATCTTTTGTTATACGGTAACGCATCAGTTCAAATTCGCCATCGGGTGGAATGAACGAGATGGCATGATCGCTTTCAAATTTGCTAAGCTTGACGCATTGATGGAATTGGCAATCGTCGATAGCGATTGAGCTTTTTGCCGACCTCGATGAAGTGGCACTGGCGTCATCGAGTGCTTTCGTAGCTCCACCGGACGCGCCCGCCTTCGACTCCATCGTGATCTTATCGTTGATACCGAACTTGCATTCCGGCATGCCCGAGAGGTAACTCTTCATTATGACCTTCCCAGCCACGTGTGCCGAAAGCACCTGACCTTGGGGAGACATAAGAAGGTTTACGTACTCTAGGACATCAAGGAATAGTTCATTACGCCGATACTTGATGCCCTCTCGTCGCCAGCCAATTTGGCCTGTCACCTGGGACGTAATCTGCGCTTGCTCCTCTTTCGTTGCACTCTTAACACCTTGCTGCGTTATGAATGTTTTCAGAATTCCCGTGTCGGTGTTTTGCGGGTAGCCGAAGTCGAGAATTTCATCTAGCAGTTCATAAATCAAAACGAAGTTGTTCTTGACGTTCTCTTCGCTAAGCTTGCCGAAGTAGCTCTGCATAACTTCGCACATCTTGAGCAGAAATTCAAATACCATGCCTGCGTTGACATTTTGTTTTGTAACGGCGGCGAGCCAAATGTTTGCCCTTTTGATATGGAAAAACGAGGTACGTGCGATGTTGGTGACGGGCGACCGAACCTGCTGACGGGCGTGAATGACGTTTACGCGGAATGCATCAACCGCGTTACGACCGATATCATCGCGATACACTCGCGAGATAAGCACCTCGCCCTTATGGTTGTAGATAAATAAACCACCAATCATCTATAACGGAATACGAATATAGATAATAGAAATAGACAATAGAAAAACAATCATTCATCATTAAAGTTTAATAATTCGATATATCAAATTCGACAGCCGAACACGTGTTTCATTATATGTTTCGATACACTTTACATGATTATATGGCTGACTAATAAACACAACGGTTATTCTCTAAGACATTAGCATTGCTAAGATTGAAGCTTCATAACTAGTTTGAGCACCAAAAGAGTTGTATTTCATTGTTTTGAATTATCCTAATTGAACATCTAACACCATATAAGCCATATGAATGCGTTCAATGTCTAAGTTCATACCCTGGAGGGCAAATGCAATAAATGTATTTACGCTACGTTTCTATCAGCATGTGCTTTAAATAATAACACGATCTATTAGAACCTAATATACCACTGGTGAAGGATAAAAACGGAACGAGTGCCACACCTTCCAGTGCGTATAAAGGACTGCTGAATGAGACGCAAAACAAAAGTCCTCAAATTTGTTTACTAAAAATACGATTTTTGCGTCTGTGGGCGCTCATACCTTTCAGACAACTTTACTTATAACTGATATGCATACACTAATCAAGTCTCATCTAGAGGAACAAGTGGTCAAGAAATCGTTGAAAAAAGATTGACTCAGGACGGAACCGAGCTCAGAAGGTACTGCGGGGCTTGTGGTCAAACAACAACTTTAACCAAAGTTGTTATTACTCATGGCTTCTTAGACACCGATCCAGTCATGACAGAATTAATATTTCAGACACTCTTGTAACATACGGTAAAATCACGACACTGTGCACAATACCAATCATATTTCGTTCTGAATTCATTCATACACTGCATTTTAATAAAATAACGCGAAAAATTCATGATGTGTTTGCTTTAACAATAACGTCAATCTGTTAATGATGTAACTTAAAGACACAGGAATAAATGAATACGTTTCAAACAGTTATGTTATTTATGTGAAAATATATGCTCAGTTAAATTATTGACACTTGGTAGATAACTGGACTCATCGTCTGATATTAATCAGCGAACACAATGATCACGAGTATTAGAACATGAACATTAATGTATTTCCAATGGCAACTGTTTATATATACTAAGTAGCCCTTCCACTGTGTTCGTCAAATGTTACGTCAGGTTAGCAGTTACACCTGCTTGTGCCAGAGCAGCTTGTAGCAACTGGGAAACGCCCCCTCCCGCGACGCTCCGGGGAGCAATAGCCTACCTTCGGGGGAGTCTTCGATGACTCAAACACGCTTTCATTTAGATTTCAGTTAGTTTTGACCATTCAAGTAGACCTACTTATTGACAGTTTGCACCTAGGTTCTGCGCGAAGGGAGTAGGAACTGATTCATTTTATTTACGGAATACAATCAAAGGATTATTAAATTGGAAATCTTTGTAAATACACACGCACACTGACACAAAACTTGTCTACGGGCAAAATCACAAATAGCAATTTCCATTTCCTAAGAACTACCTACCGCTGCAAAATTGCATCAGAAACGCATAAGTAAATACGATTAGTATAAACAATACCATAAAAAAACAAAAAAAACAAAAGAAAACGCTAACTAAGTTGTACTTAAATTACTTATAATAACGAGCTTATATGGACCAAATTGGTTTCTATTGCAGTTGCTATCTCGTCTTTTTTCGTCAATTGCAGATCACACGAGAGGATGAGATGATTCGGAAGAACAAACGTTGTCTGTATCAGGCTGCCGATTCAGCACAGTGGCTCGAAGAGAAGGGGCAGTGATTTAAGCCGCCGAGTAACACTCGTGTAAGCCGTCATTGTGTCCTCAAAATTGTCGATAGATCTATGTCTTAGCTGCAAATCCATTCTAATTGCCGTCAGAAGCAGGACCCGTATACAGCCACATATTCACATAAAATGGCCATACACACTAGCGAATTGTGAATAGGAACAGATAACTAGGTTAATTGTCCACTTGAGTACTCGCTCGATTCTGATACACACGCACACAAAGGCATAAACACAGAGTGTTATAAAAAGAAAAGGATCCAAAATGAATCTATTTCAATAGAGGAGCGCACTTGACATCCGCTTATCCTGGCCAATCAGTTTGGGTTGGTTTCGTCCGTAGCGGGACGAGAATTGGCGGCTGAAACGATCGCCAATAATGATCTTCCTGTTTGTACCCTAAAATCATAAACTTCCTCATATATTACATTTCCTAATGAGTGTACCTTGGTCGTTAGATATAGCGCTGATTCACTCTATTGGTTAAGATGACATCTCGCGGTTCCTTCGCGTTCACCCGTCAAAGTTCGACCCCTCAAGATGGCCGAAATTCGCAACTCTGTAGACCAGTGGACGACCGCTCATGAGCTGTTGAGCTGGGCGACTGCAGCGCCGCGATGTACTCGAATTAATATTGATGAAATTATCTAAATCGCTTTAAACAATGAGGTAGTCTTACCAGCATAGAAGAAATGACAAATAATAGCAAACCGCAAGCAAATAAATCCCTTTCAAATAATTAAAATAGATGAGCGCCATTTTAGGAAGGGGGCGCCACTGTATCTTGCATTGAAATCGTGGTCGTCCGCGGATCGTACAGTCTTTCCGCCCGGTGATTAAGACGAGATGGCAGCAGTAAGTTGAGCTCCCGAAAATTCTCGTATATGTATTAAATTTCGCCAAAAGCTACTTAATTTTACTAAGAAGCTGAAAATAGTAAAAGTAATTCTGTTTAACAATTCCCTCTTGGCATTACGAAGAGATTATGGAATTATCGTATATTTAATTCAATGACGTGTTTTTCGCCACGTGGTACTCTGTATTCCCAAGTGAACCTAAAAATGCACATAGTCATGCCGTGGTCCATCCAAATGATGATTTCGGCTAGAGTCCTGATATCGTATCACTGATGTCACTGCGATTCGTTCTTTAATTATCTGATTGTTTACAGAGAAAGTCGATTTTGAGAAATTTTATCGACGACGAGTTGAATATTGTCTTAACTCTTCATCTGGCTCTGTGCTGTCTCCATGTGATCTTAGGTAAAGCCTGCAAAGAAGTCCGGAAAAAAGGGTCCGAAGAAGGCGGGTATCAAGAAAAAGCCTGGCGTCAAGAGAGGTCAGCAGAAGTATGTCGTGGATTGCGCCCACCCTGTTGAAGATGGCATTATGAAGGTCGCAGATTTCGTAAGTGGTTTGCTCGATTTTAGATCAGTAGCTCGAGTTTCTGGAGTCTTGCGAATGCGGGGCTATGCCAGCGCCTGGCCTGGCTGAGACTGAGAATGCTGACAAACCGAGTAGCCTTCAGAATGTGGATGTTCGTCTGGTCAGTTAATCACAACATCCACGATGTGGGACACGTGTGGAATGTTTGTTGAGTAGTTGATTTGGACAACATCGAACAGAATAAAGCCGCTGAAGCCGATACTGCGCTCGGTTTTGAACTGGTACTGGTCCATGCGAATGACTAGTATCGATGAAGTACTCTGCATCAGTCGTATTCTATATGGAGCTGCTTTGGGCAATTTTGGCGGTGGCTTGTTCACCTGGCTCGCCGACTTTTTGCCTCAGATTTGGTAGTCTCGAGGAGAAACCTCGTGAAGGCTTCGCGTATGTCCCTTCGTTTTGTAAACAATCGCGTATTATTTCGATATTGGTTATTTTTTTGTTAAACAATCGAGTATTATTATGAAATGCGAATAAGGAACAGGTATTTTGACAATTGATTAGAATCATAGGGTCTTTGGCTGGAGTGTTCAGTCTACAGATTGAATTATCTCCTTTTTAAATGATATAGGCCCGAAATCGATGCACCATGTAATCTCCATTTCGTGTCTCAAGTCCGGTTTGGTTTCATGTGTGGTCAACATTCTTGTCGCTATTGTCAGCTATCTATTCTTTGCGGTTTTCCCAACTCTGCGTGATCTGTTCGGTTTTTAAGTCACTACGGTTATTTGATTTCATATTCGCTTAGAGAGGCAGAAGATTGCTATTCTAGCGTCTATTTATACTAAACTATGTATAATATTTACAGGAAACTTACTTAAAAAGCCGCATTAAAGTCAATGGCAAGACCAAGAACCTCGGCAAAGACATCACAGTGTATAAGGAGAAAAACAAAGTGATCATCATTGCGAACATCCCGTTCTCGAAAAGGTATGTTGTGAACGGATGGATTGATTCAGCGACTCTTACCCTCTTAAACTGTTGTCCCACGTGTATTCAACCAAATGTTTCCACATATTCTTGCGGCACGATCTTCGATCCGCCTTGTAGAGCGTACTTACTAACATGTGCCATATACTTAAGTACATTACCATTAGTAAGCCATAGATGCCTTTCTTTTGTCATTTTATATCAATAGTAAGGTGATACGCGTTAAGAAGCGTGGCTTGTTACGACCGAGTTGTGCTTCCTTGATGCTAAAGAATAGTTTTTGGTTTCTTCTGAAGAGAGTTCTCACTATGCGATCGCTATTCGAAATAGAATTGCTTCTCCTTCGCCACGGTCCTCGGGCTCCACAGGTCCAGAGACTGCCTAATATTATATTGGGAGTACAATGATGCTTTCGAGGAAGCCAGCCTTGGGCTAGAGCAAAGGCCGGTGCCGAAACGTTTGCTACATGTATTAATTTCACTCGGTCAGATATTAGTAGAAAACTATAGTCTTCTTAATCGAATGTTGTCATTGATTCAAACTGAAACATGCTTATCCTAAAGTAATTTCGATCTTTTGTGTTTTCAGGTATTTAAAGTACTTGACGAAGAAGTACTTAAAGAAGAACAACCTTCGGGATTGGCTGCGAGTGGTAGCTGCGGCAAAGGATGGCTTTGAACTTCGGTACTATCAGATCAACAATGTAGATGATGATGATGATGATGATGATGAAGAGGACGAGTAAGGCCTTGGTCTCCGTTCGCTGCAACGACGTAAATCGACATCCGCGAACATGTCTTTTTGTAACGTAATAAAACAAGTTTGTCGGCAGATTATCGTTGACGTCATACGTTTCCATTTAACTGTTAATGATAATTGGATGGGTAGGCAATAATAGATAGGCGCATATTGGAGCAACTAACCGGTAGATTATAAAGCTTTTTCTGGAGTGATTACACACTAAGACTTGTTAGGTTCTTTAAGAGACGCTTGGTAGCTTCCATAAGAGACGCTTTAATTCAAATGCTAATTATTGAAAGCTTTAGCTTTGTGTCTATGATGTATCACAAAAGTGGACAAAGGGTTATTACATAAAAAAAATAATTATCATAAATGGGGCACACATGGTGCTCATAGCTAAAAATAGGTCAACAAAGACTCATGTTGTACACGGGCAAATTCGTGCATTATCATAGACGTGAAATGAAAATAGCTGCTTGCAAATAAAAAAGTTTTCATTATTTTGATGGATTTAGGTGTTTCAAGGGCTATGGCAGGTCTGTTAGGGTTTTAGGCACAAGCTTTAATCCTCGGAATATGACAGTCAGTAATTATACAATTGTCGTCCTATAGTATATTTATTCTTTATGCAAATATTATTGTTATCGATTATTGATCGAGTCTGGCCACTTCATCGGCATATTTTTTTTGAAGTAATACAAGAACATATTTCTATTTGCTTCGGCATTAGAAGGCTAAATATAGAACTTGTGATTGAGAGAGTTTATGGCATAAAGGAAAAATCGCCTCCTGCATTACGTTATTTAATTTTTCTTTAAAGTGTAAGACTGACTATTTACTCGACAATCATGCCGATTTCTCTAATCTTCGTAAGATTTCTTTGTTTGCCTTCCAGCAAACTGAAATTATCAAACGGACAGAGCCACAAAGAAAGTGATGAATATAGCGTGTTCTGCTATTAATTTCGCAGTCAACCAGTACAAGAAACAGCTTTGGTCCGATCATCCAATTCGTTACGTAGCTTCAGCTGAAAAAGGATTACGAGTTTCTCACTAAAGCGCTCGACTGCTACTAGATATTTTGTTAGGCTGTTACATAAGTAACATAGGACAACTTTTGAACTAACTGAGCTTGAATAACGATTTTTTATTATTTGTTGAAGGCACTCTTTTTATACTTCACACACTTGCCCCAGTGCTTTTGTGGTTTCTAAAAGACCGTATACCTACAATTCACGTTCTCAATCGATAGCTTTTTAAAGTAAATTGATATTAAAATATATTTGTCTACCAGTTGCTTTTCTTCGGATGGAAAGCCTTATAGTTAACACAGGCGTTGGATATTCGTTCATGCAATTCAAGAAGTACGGCGATGGGGTCTGGCGTTACTATTAAATAGCGCATTGTGTGGAAGTAGACTCTGTGGTTCATGCCAACGGTCCATGAGTTTTTTGAGGAACTAGGGATAGCGGCGGAAATTTTCAGCGAGTATCTCATGGTAGCCGATGCCCTTGTAAGTATTTCCATTACCTTAAGTTCGAAATTACTCGACATTCCTACCGAACTCAGTTTTTCTCAGGCGACGTCGTACTCTCGCCTAGCCCTTCTTCGACTGGCGGTAGATATTGAACCCTACTTTATCTATGGCAGCCGTATGCCCCACGCGAATTTTTTTTGTTGATTAAATCGCTGCAAACTGCACGTGGAATAATCTACGTACACTTCTAATGGGCTTATGTTCAATTCATAGGTGACCCATTTTTTACTCTCTTTCCAGTATTTGGGTCATAATTCTGTAATACACTATATGTGATATGCCTGTTTTAGCTAATAGAGCCCTTAAAAGCTCTACTTTCGTAAAAAGCTTGCTCGACTGCAGCAATGCGCTCTTGTCATTCGGACCTTGATATTTGGTCACCCCTTGCCCAACCTTCAATACTCCAATTTCAGTTCTTGAAACCTTTGTGCCGTTTACTTATTATATATTCGCTTAGTGCCTTCACTAAACCTCAGTGAATTTCTGCAGCATTAGGAGGACCTTCGAAAAACAAAAACTTGCCCACTGAATGTTGATTTTTGGAACTGAAAGGTATTGTCTTTTCTAAACTTATTTTTTGTAACATAAGCTCAACCGGTTTTACACATACGTTTCTAGAAGGTTGGAGAATTTACTAGCTAAATGTCGTCTGCTAGCAGCGCGTAGTTCAAAAGTTTTTCAATTTCGAAGCCCGCCACTTCGTCATTCGCTTGTAACAGCTTAACATGTGACCTAGGTATTTTTCAGTGTGGAATGTCAAGGGTTAAAAGAGAATTCAGTGACCTAAACAATATCAGCAAGTAACGTTAAAGTTAGTGGATGCTGTTTCACACTAGCCGGACAAAAGCGTTTCGTTTATTTACTTGCACTAATTATCTACGTAAGTCGTACCGAATTGCTGTTAACGGACCTTTTTTATTGTGAAATTTAATCACCAATACTCATTATAAAAAAATGCGGATATTTTCGATGGTGAAATGCACCTGCCACATGAACAGGACCTGCACGAATAATTCATCTGATTAGCATTATCTGAAGAATATTAGGTAGAGCTTTTTTTTTTGTTACTGTTACTGCCATACAACTGATGGATATAGCTAAAAAGCTAATTGTTTCTGGGCTAAAATAAAACCTAAGCGAAGCCAAACGTTTGAGGCTTCAATAAATTCAAACGTTTCAGTGTCAATCAAATTTGCCATAAAGCTTCAAGATATTAGGTGTCTTCAGCCGTTGCTGGTCCTAAATCATTGTTGTTGTTTAAGTGCACGATTGCATAGTTGGCGCACATACAATAGACTTAGGATGCAATAACTGTAAGAAAATAAAATAAAGGGTCGCCAACGTCCCTAATATATTCATTGTTAATTAAAATCTAATCAAGCTATCTTCACATCGAGCACGCATATAATCGTTGTGAAACATGTCGCAAATCAAGCACGCGAATCGTGTTGTTTTGAACAGGGATGTCAAGCTAAAATCATATAAAAAACAACATATATTGTTCATTGATAAATCAAGAACAAACTTAGGCGTGCTCAAAATCAGTTAATTTACGACAATTTAAGTTGCCAACTGAAGGCCAATGGTGGGCTGAGATAACGTGGTTGCGCAGAAAAAAAATGGTCAAATGCCGAACTTCTACTTAAATCGGTCCACCGAGTCATGATTAACTTGTCATACAATATATCTGCACAATTGTAATCTCCCTAAAATTAAAAATAAAATCAGGGTTTTATAGGATTACCGACTCAAGGGATGTTGGCCCCATTAGTCGGAACTTCCGTGAAAATGTATAATAAAAGTAGTTGTTCTGCGGAAGTTCTTTGCAATTATTTTTTTGTAAGTGTCGGGTTTCTGTCAGCGCCGCGCCTTTTAATATTTACAAAACGGTACAGACAACTAGCTTAGAACTAAAATAATCAATCCCGTATTGACTATAGGGTGTTCCAACTTTATAATTCGATATGACTTGACTGGTAGATACCTTTGTAGAAATCTGCTTTGATTCTGCGGTGCCTCATATTTACAGAAAGTTTTTGCAAAATCGACTCCTTGGAATCTCGTTCAGTGAATGTAGATCCATGCAGTTTTTCTTTACACAGGATGTATTGATTTTCTGTAGTTGGGGATATTTTTGAATTAGATCTATTTCACTGAGATATAAAGCTCTAGTGTGATCTCCATGAATGCATCGGCGAATTCCTAAAGCGATGAACTATCTGTAAAACACCGACAATATACATTAATAGCGCCGTGAAATTTTAGACATACCTGGAATCATCGATAATGCGTTTTTTTTTTTAAATGTGGACTCAATGGACTGCTTAAATGGCGGAACCAAAAAAAGGCGGCGGGAATCGGTAGCTCAAGCTTCGCCAACGACATAGTACTCGACGAGTATGATTAAATAGGTAAATAAACGAGTTTCCTGAAGTCTCCACATTTGATCGCCGTGCTTCATGTAATACACTCAAATTATAAACTTGTATTTATTCAATATAAGCGTGCAATAGTTTGTAGCCTGCGGTACTTCTCTTCAATAATCATTATCATCAACGAAAAACTGTTTCACGGGCCAAGAGATCTGCTTAGACCGGTGGTATCTCGAAGCTTTAAGTGCGGCAGATGGTAAGAGAAGGTGCGACGCTTAGTAAGCGGAGTTTAACTGTCAGTCCAAATAATCGAGATAATTAACCATGGCTATATTATGATTCGAAATCTAATTGAACACTATGGTGGACCATACGCAATTAGTTCGAATTACAAAAAATAATTAGACAACAAACCTCTGTTAAGTTTAATTTTTATTTGAAGTTGTGCTGATGATAGTCTGGCAGTGCAAAACCGGGCAGATGCATTAAAATTTATTACTCGAGTTCTCTGAATTCATTTCAGGTGACTGATGATGTATGTGGTTTGTCATTGTTATAAGGGGAGACAACGCATTTTCTATTTACTGATTTTAATTCATTTTTATAAATGACTTATTAACAGTAGAAATCCGAATCAATGGTTCTGCCAGGCGGCAGTAACTCATAAGCGCCAATCCCTTGCCAGTCTCACCCAATACATAACATTGCTTCCTTTGGCGATAGTCTGGGTTTTGCCACAGATTTCAAAGCAGTCTTTTTTTATATGCAATTTATTTTGTCATGTGATCAATTGCTTTGGAATTAACCCGATTTAGTTGTGTTGCAGATGGAAACACGATCAAATAGATTATTCCTATCAATTCGTGTGGCACCCAAACATTAAGCGCTTTTTCTAATCAGTTTTTCTAAATTGGCCTAAAACTGTTTTGTGGTAGACGCTTAATATCTTGGCAATATCATGGGTATCCACGTGGTGGTCTCTTTCAGCTTTCGTACTAATTTTATCCGTAACTGATTGATAACGAGCATCATCTTTTACGTCCAGAGCGAAAGCGACATAACTATCTTTAGGTAGTTTCTTCCGATAACGCATCTTCACCACAATAAGTGTCTTTTTCACCGGCCTGGGCAGCATTTATCCCTTTATCGTGGCGAAATTATAAAATGTATCGAATTTTTGCGAAAACTTAATGCGCTTTATCGTAAGTTCGAGGAAATGTATTCGAATAGTTATCGACTTAAAAAAAATCATCCTGGTATATAAATCGTTTCCGACAGAATTCCATTAAAAGCAACTATATACGTGTGCTACAGAAATAAAGTTTGACACAAGGTAATTTCACGGCCAACCCGTTCGCGACGAAAGGGTCACTAACCTGCCTGCGTCCATCTTTCAAAAATTGAATGACATTTCATTGTTATTTTGCTATTTAGCTTTTTTTCCAGGGAGAAATTACTGCTTGGATCGTTTGCCTGTTCTGATTGGGCATTCATAGATTCACGCTTGCAACACACATTTACGCAACTGGTGAAGAGCACGAACCAACGAAAATGAGACCAGTTCAGAAGAAGCAAACTGAAGAAAGGTGGTAACGATTCGATATCTCACGAAGGAGCCGATTTAACATTGAATGTGAATAAACACCCGTTCTTTCTGATAATTTAGCCGATATATATGAATGGTGCATTAGATATTGCCGAAATCTGTCACACAGCTGTCGTGTATACGCGACGAGACGTCAACAATCCACAGCATCAAACAGTGATTGTAATAATAATAATAATAATAGATGTTAACATAATCGCTAAGTCGCTGTGGCCGCCATTATACGGCCATAAAATGCTAATATAAAAATTGTCTCGTAGTTTGTTTTTTTAAACGAATCTCGTAAGTCGTATGTGCTTTTGTATTGGAGTTTGGACGGGGAGCGACCCAGAATGAATGGCCAGACTAGAATGGCGCTAAAGGCCAGAGTCACGCAACTGATCGAACTCTGCGTGATTGAACTGCGATAAGCAGCCAGCTCTCAATAGCAGTACACGTTTCAGTGCGAACTCGTTTGTGTACGTGTAGTGCTGTTCTGATAGATCGTTGCGATGTAGTTTTTTAAACAGTAGCTAGTCTAAATAGAAACAGGGTGTATACATGCTACTTTAAGTGTTCTCCGATAGCGCTAAAGAGGTGTGACGTGTAACGATCTTATCATACGATATTGTTAAGGTGGCAGGTTGTCGTACATAGAAAAAACACATAATATTAGTAATAACATTGTATTATATATTCAACTGAGGAAATAAATTGCTGGCCCCACAGCCATTTGTATAAACTTACTTAATAAAAAGGTACAGTTAGTTAATTCAAAAGTTAATTCAAAAAGATAAGCGCACATTTCCGTTGCCTCATAAACATATGTGTTACAATTGTAAACTGACGTTGCTTAATACTCCACAGCTATATACAAATAATTTACGTAAGACAATTAAAATGAGTAAGATAATATTTTGAAAAAATCTTCCTATATGAGTACTCCTTTACCATCACTGACACGCCGCCTAATCATATAAAAAGCCTAAACTAGCGAAATATAAACAACTACGCAACTATAATCAATACGATCCGCCCACCAACAATCAATTCAGAAATCGAGCCAGAACTATACTATAATCTATAAAATCGTTGTAGCTGTAAACAAGTAAAATCAATACATTTTTTAGCTATAGCAGTCGCAATGGATTGATACAAAAATGTAATGCAAGTATTTCTAGTAACTATATTGTAAGATGTCTATGAGTAATTCAAATGTTTATGTTTCTCATGAGAAAAACTGCAAAAGGTATGAGGAAAAACGTCAGTCGCACCAATATATTTGAATCACGCCAGAGAGATGCACAAGACCTTTTAGCCTCTAGACAGTAGAAAACAAATTTATGGACATCGGAATGTATAGGAAAGATACAGGCCGCCTGTATCCTCTTTCAGGATATCATCTTTGCTATGGAAACTGACTGTACTTTTCTAGGATATCGCATCTTTACCACAACGTTAGTGGAATTCGATATATCTTATACGCTAAGAAAGACATATGTGTAAATGTTACCTATTAAAAGGACGCTACTGTTTCAAGCTTATCACTGCTGGATATACTGTTTTCTGTGAATCATTTTAGATGGGGGTTTCCTTTCCGAGCTGGCTTACCTAAAATCTTTGCAATGCGTATGCCAATTTAAGCAGACTTAATACAGAATAAGCTTAGAGACCTTTCCACTAACTGTCTTAGCTAATTATTTGGATTGATTTCAAGCACAGATGCGTAATTCAGACCTTGAATTTCGTTTAGCCAAATACGTTAAAAAGCATGACACTGTCAAACGGTATAAAGGGTTGAGACCAGGCATATCGAATATTTAGTGGATCATCTGAAAATCTATCCTGTAAGCTGCAACATCGCGCCTTTATAATTCTTATCAGTTCATCGGAAGCATGTAAGGACGATATTCAGTACTATCAGCGAATAGGACCACCCAAAAGCTTCAAGGGGATTTACCGAATTATACAACATAGCCAAGTGTGTCGTTTTTGCCCAATTTTGACAGCCGATTTCACGACGACTTCGGCTTACGTCTCGTTCATAAGATATCACAGCTCGCACCAACTCCGTTGATGCGTCTATTCGCCGTCATAAAGGTATTGTGCCCAAGTTCTATTATTAGTAAAAGCTATTTCAAGTCTTAGCAAAGCATTTGAACCGCCAGCCACTGATGAAATTCAAATTTCTTCTTCTTCTTTATTTTTGTTTTTAATTAGACGGCGCTGCTTGCTAGTTTATACGTCGAATACTATCGATTTTTTTTAATAGTTAGCAGAATATGATTTCTGACAACATCTGCCAATTTACAAATGAAATCAATTACAATCTAACTTTAACAGATCTTCGCTCATTTTAACAAACCTACGCGCCCAACACATTCTAACCCGACAAGCATAAGACGCCATAGAATACTGAAAACATTTATCGCTTAATTCCATTATATATCTAGACATCTGTAGTTTAGACTTTACAGAGGAAGTTTTCTTTAACATTTCAGTTTATTTTAATTAAGTGGCATAGTAGTAATAAGAAATTTATCCTTGCTGTGACTTCGAGTTCATCCAACGCAATATGACACATACACTATACAGCTTTCGTAGAAATGATAAGCCAAATGAAATACCTTCCAGCTTAAGTAAAATGAACGAACCGTTAGAATAAAACCACCTCACTGACGGCTAGTAACCTGAAAAGCACTTCTTTCTCCAGACATATATACTGAATGCTCCCTACAACCGAGCGAGAGATGTTACGGTTGCTTGCGATTAACGCCATATCTGTGGTCCGTGAAACCATATTCAGCCACACACATGGCGTAAATGTAAACTGGTGTTCATTCTGTGTGCTGTGAGTAGTGCCATTTACCATGGTTTTCTGATCCTGTTTACCGTATTATCTATGGTAGTTCCAAAGTGCAGCTGTTCACTAACTATTTGAAGAAAGGCGATGTATATGCCGAAACAAGCATTGGTCGCACATGTCCTGATCGATTCCCCGTTAGAAAAACATACATGTTGAGTATAAGCGCGACACAATTAATGGAAGCCCCCAACTAAGCGGCAAAATAGACTACGGTGGCACGAAAATCTACCACGCTAAGCCTATCATTACTTTGGTTGTATTGCTTGTCAATATCGACCTATAATGCGATGGGTAACATTCTATTACATGCTACGTTCTGCTGAAATTGAGCCTGTGCAATACCTATGATAGAGAATGCTTTTGATAAAAATGCTCCCGTCCTGGAGGCTGCCTACTGTTGTATCCTTGGAATCATGAGGGTGGTTCGTAAGTGCTATATATCGAGTTTAACGTGGACAGAATTCACATCAGATACATGAATTCATCAAAAAAAAAGAAAACTGCTTTGCTAAACTAAACTAAAAGTAAATATGAACTTGTCGTTTATAAATTTTAACGCAATTCATCCTTTCAAGAACTGGATATTTCGCGATATTGAGGACTATCTTAATGCTAAAGTGTGAAGTCTTGAAACTCCATTTCTTCGTAACTCAATAGGTTTTCTCGAGTCGGTGCAGAATTCGGTGTGAATGCAGATGTATGCAAACGCAGGTAGCGCTTAGTCGATGAGTGTAATCTTCACTCGATACCGGCTTGAGGACCGTTATTGTTACACACAGATATAATTGTGACGATTTAATTATTTTCGTAAATCCCAGCCAACCGAATATTGGACTTAGACATCTTGGATTGTCTAACGACCATTCCGATTAAAATAGTAAGCACTACAGAATAGCTGTGAAGTAGCTTATGAGAAAGCCTCGCGTTGTGTCTATACGAATGTTTATATGCGAATATATACTTAATACCAAAGGTACACTAACTGTAAAAGCGATTCTATCCAAAGACACTTTACTGCGGACCACTTTGGGTTCATACACAACGCTTAGTCTATGTTCGTGTATCACATACGACTGTTGTGAGCTAACGATAACAAGGAGCCAGGTCTTTTAGTTGTTTTCCTTACCTAGACAACCAATTTTTCCATCCTTCTATTCACCTAACAAATGCTTTCCATGAGCAGTGCTAATGGCATAAATTGCTAAAGAACATTTAGCATAATCATAATATTTGCTCACGCGTGATTGAAATGGAGGTGGGATTACCGATGAACTTATTGATCGATGTAATCATAATTACCGTGGAAAAGATTTTATCTTCGCGTCATCCCTGGAAATACTGAAAGCACTAGGATTTTTTTAGATTGACGGATAAATCCTTCATCTGAATCTGGCCCTTTCCGACTCTTCAAGGGAAAGTTAAGGCGCTTGATCTGGCGGATAAGTCACTGTCTTAAAGGTGAATTGGAATCATCTGGTAGAACGTAACAACTGCACCTATGCATGGAAGCTCTTCAATATTGTATCGGTTACTGGCACAGCGTAAAGTTAAATCCTGTCTTGTGCTGAGTCTGTGAACAAAATCTAAGACTTTCAACATTTTCTATACAGTAACTGAAAATTAGAAAAAGGCAGGTCTGTTCAAGAACCTAAATTACTTTCAAAAAACCTTATATCGAAAACGCAATTACGAATCTACTTGGGATTAGCACATTTAGCATTTCCTCTTTCTTGAGTTTGTGGTATCTTTCCAATAATAATTCAGACGATCTGGCTAGTCTACAGCAGACTAATCTGGTGAACGTTCTTTGATTACTGGATATATATAAAACCGATGCCGGCTCCTTTTAATACATTTGACGTGAAATGTGTCGTTTTTAAGTGCAATACTCTGGAATACAACAACCTTAATTTCGGAGGTGACTAGGGCATCGGACACAAAAATACAGTTAAACGGAAAACTCAGCACTTAGCGCACGTGGTAGCTGGACTGATTGATGTGATAGCTGGTCAATATTGATCGGAACTGTATATGGTTCGTTTAAATATTGTCTTTTTTTTTTGCAAAACGTGAAATTGCGCAGAAATCGTTCGAGCATATTTTTTTGAATAAGGGGATTTGATGATGTAAGCTCGGCGTGTCAATGATCTTGATTCTTCGCTAAGGTCTCTTGTGGATGATTCCACACACAGCTCAGCGTATACTGTGACATTACTAACATGAATCTAATAAATGACTATAAATCTAAATAACGAATCTAGCTAAAGAATAACACTAGGTATGATTAAAATGTTTTAAACTAAAACACATGAAATTGGGTAAATTATCCAATTTAGATTGGTGAATTTAAGAACCATAGAATTCATGCTTCCTTGCTCCTCCACCGCGCACTCTGCCCAATAATCTTTATAATCGACAATGGTGTAATAAGGGAAAAAAACTACTATGAAAATATGTATATACTATCTAATCTTACACGAAATTAGTAGACGGGTACATTCGAACCCTAGATGTAAGAGGTATTACGTAAGAGTTTTTTAATTTGTGAAGTATGTAGGGAGGACAACGGCAATTTGCATTATACAGAGTACTAAGATAATTTATTTTCTTTCGTTTCAGATAAATGGCTCTCTTCATCTAGAAAAGGGCCGTAAGAACCTCTATCACGTCGTCCGCATTAAACCTCAGCTGTCAGGAGAAAATGTCATGGTTACCGTTTATTTGACAATTTCCTGACAACTTACCGCCACGAGTTGCTGCTACTATTACATCTACCTAAAAGTGCGACGACAGAGCACCAATTTGGAAAATCGGAATGCTGTGATTATAGTGACATTGTTGTGTGACAGCCTACGAGGAGCTGAGGTTACATGTGTCTGCCTGCCTGTCGCCTCCCCTTCCCTGCACTTCCACTACCCCTCGCCCCCTAACTTCTTGATTTGGTAAAAAAAAATTGCCATTGATTGTGACAGTATTGATACATCGGGACTATTTATCAGAAACTGCTTCTTTGCCACTGTGAAAGCTTACTGGAAGAGGAGATCTTACCTGGCTTTCGTCGATCAGTGGGAAGGGCTACGAAACACTCTCCGCTACGAAATTAAGCATGGCGTTATTATGTTCGCGACGGTTCTTGCTTTGGGCTATTTCGATAACGATGCTCGTAGCCATTGGTACGTATTGCCTCACGCGTACAATAATTTTCGTATCGCTGTACACACACGCTATGAAATAACATTTGGTTATAGAAGTGGCGTCTTTGTTTCTGATGCTATTTTTTTTTGCAAACCATTTGACACATAGCCAACGTTAATTTTATATATACGATAGCCATCGAAGTATACACTGTCATCCAATATATGGCCTATTGAAACCAAACAATGCAGTTCTTTTTTGTTGTTGATCAAATTCTTAGCGTAAGTATAAACGTCGGTTTTTAGGAAAGTCAGGAAAGTCATCTATTTCTCGATTCATTTTGATGGGACGCAAACGATAAAACTAAGATGTTAGGCAATATGTGAACTTCATAGAATTTTCATTAACACAAATTTACAACGAATATCTACAAGTTGACATTGGATTTATTTGGAACTAAACGAATTTTGATCGTACTTTTTGCTCTGTCCACTTGTGTTACATCGTAGACAAAAAAGGTTTTTTTTTTTTATTTTCTGTCTGTGGAATACATCTGTGGTGCATACCGTGGAATCTTATATTACCTAAAAAGTTACATCTGAAAATCATAATCATTATACCTCATAAACCTAATATATCTTGGAATACTCCTAGCTATAATCCAAACTGCAGTCAAGATATTCCGAGAAAAACGAGTCCACTAGATAGTCCATATTAATCCTTTACCAAAACTGACCCCGGCTATTGTAAGAATCGTTGAATTAGTGACGCGGCATATTTTGCTCAGTGGTATCTCCTGTTGGCAAACGCTGTGATGAAATTTCAGAACACTTCGTATTCTTAGCTTATTATTATTATTATCCTATTATCTTAGATCCTAGCAAACCTTATCAAACTGCCGCATGTAGCAATAATAGTATTTCTGCTGGCTATTTGCCCGCAGCGAACTCGTCTTGTATTTTGTTGCTAGCAAGTATTATGAGGATGAAGTAAATACCTGTTTTTGTTCTGAAAACATTTTCTGTCTGAGACTTTTCTGTCGAAAATGTTTTGTGGCATCGTTCTGTTAATGACACATCCGTGGCCGCTTATCATACATATGATTAAAATCAAAAATGTGAGATCTGTAGTTCGGACGGTCGTCTTCTATCCACATATTTAGAGTGTCTACGGACCATTCATTATTCCCTGTAGTTCGGTAGTTTCTAGAATTCTCTTCAGAATCATTAAGCATTTAGCTGATTTATCGATGTTGTCTCATATCATATTCTGCTTTACTTATCAAATTATAATGTTGTAGCGCACGTTTTACGCTAGCCTTGTATCATGATCTTCATGAAATACTAAAAAATAGATGAAAGGATTTTCCGCGAATGATGCCACTTGGACTGATGCTAATGGATCAAAAAAATCTTTAACGCAACTGCGGTTAAAAAGGGCCTTGTCTACGCTGATATGAATGTTTTATTAGTTAGCTAACGGAACAGATCGATTTTAACTTTTGGAGAAAAACGAAGGAAAGTGCTCCTGTCTCGTGTTTTGCAACTTGATCACTTCGTTCGACATCAAACGTTCTAGAAGTGGAAATTTAAGGATCAGGGAGTTAGTAGGTAGCTGGCCAGGAGGGATTCTATTCAGGGTCAAAAGTGGCATCTAATTGTATGGTTAAAGTTCAAGTAAGATGGCAGTATGTAATGTTATTTATTGAGTTGCTATAAATATAAATCTCAGTTCGTATGTAACCGAAGGCTTACATGATACACGCCCGAGATCGTTTGACTATTGGGATCTGTAGATAAAATTTGATTGAATAATGCGTACCTGTAGTAGATATTTAAAAAGGGTAGATACCCTAGTTATGAACCCCACATTTGAATTTAGGTTCTCAAAGCACGGTATTATTAATCATCCATTGTCATACACTTAATTGTACTCTATATATACATAATCATATATATATGCCCGTATATATCCATATATTATTGTTAATATCTAATATACCTGATCAAGGAGATAACAGTAGTAATAATATATTATATCGATTGAAAACGATACCTAGGATTGCTGAACATGATTGGCTAACTCGAATGGTTTATGGGTGATGGATACTGAGTAATATACAGCCTAATTCCACAGACGACCCCTTTTATTATACAGTATAATTACTATCAATAAAAAGTTATATGCCAATTAACTGCAGCAACGGTCAGCACAATGCGGATCAAATCGAACGTTTAAACGGTTGCGTGTAGTCACATAATAACTGATGATGTCATTGTAACTTTTCGATGGCAGTCTAGGTTCTTTCATCTTTCCTGAAACGTTGCCCAGGCATGACCTATCGGTATATGAATGGAGAATCATTAAGTTACTGCTGCGGCGCCAGTAGCGGCTTCTTTTTCAAAATATGACACCGTCAGGGTCAATTCAGTCAACTAATAGATAATGGATGCTATTGAACTGGTGCAGTATACGTTAGCATTGAACCTCCCCAGTGAAGTTCCCACGCACTAATCTTATCGAAATTTACTAGGCGGATTATATTTTGTCACTAACTATTAAAAGATTCTAAGTAAAATTCAATCTCTGAAGGCTTCGTAACTATTCGATGCTAGAGAGGTCGTCTAGATATTTGTAAAAATATACATAAATGTATATTTTTATAAATAGCAAATAATTTCCACTTGAGCAATTTAATTGAGGTAATTGAAGTGGCGAATCGCCATTAACTAAGACCTAACTAAACCTGAGCATCTGCACTTCAGTTAGCGAACACGCCCCCCTCATACGTAAATGGAATTCTTACAGTGTGTGTCAAACTATATATTTATATGGTAATGTTGGATTGTATGGAATTTTCATCGCCCTAAAGGAAACTCTATTGTTAATGTACTACATTCATAATCTTTCAGCAACCGCCATTGCTTCTTTGACTCTAACTGGAGCCTTCTCAAAATCCATCGATGACCCTATACCGCAACAGGTTCGTTAGTAAACAGTTTCACTCATAACTAATAAAATTGCATTGGGTTATAATAACAGTAGTAATTGTGAACGTTACTATCAGTATACACGACGTACATGTGCACATTAAGTGAAATCAACCCGAGTTCTTTACCTTCTTGTTGACAATTCTGGCAAAATGGCTTTATGGTACATGAGTGTTGACAAGAGACTTATCACAGGTCGAAGTAGTGGAGAATGTAGTGGAGAAATGAAATAACAGCGCTCCGGCTACAAGAAGTAAAACGTGTTTACCCTTAATCATACATACAGTGAAAGTTTTTTTTCAAATAGTTCATTATCCAAGATAATAACAAAAAAAAAAGTTGAAAGAAAACTTCGGAACTTTTTACGTTTTCCTTATTAAAGTACTAGTGAAAATTGATAGTCCTCATTGACGTGTTGGGGGTTGATACATGAACCGTAATCACTGGGTTGTTTGATATATTTGTTGTTTAATCCAAAGCTATATTGGAACAGGCTGTACTCACTGAGAATTGACTTTATCCATATATTTCCTGACTATGCATTAATTCTATAAGACAAACGTTTAGCGCTTTCATTCGTTGGTTTAGCCAACTCGTTTAACTGTGCAAGCTAAATTAAATCCATTGAGCTATTATTAGACCACTAGGTTTCAACGTTGTCCTACTATTTTGTCGTCTGCAGGTAAATCGCGACCCCGAAGGGTATACACTCGAGCATGTGACCATTCTACATCGACATGGATTGCGAGCGCCAGCTCAACTTTCCAATTGGAGCACTGCTGATGACTATCCTATGGGTGAGCAAATCTCTATCTTTTTATAGCAGTTTATTGGGTCGAATAGAGTGAATAACATAAGCTTATATAATTCAATAAATTCAAATTATGCAACATACTTGCGAAATGCGATAGAGACCACCACACTGGGATATCCTCACATTTTCAATGATAAAACGGGCTTGCCAGAGTATTCGTAGCAGTTTTGGCTATCTTCGTAGCTGTATAATGTACCTGAGAAAAGAATTAAAGCTTCAAGCTTTTTAGCATGTCTAAGGCCATTTCTACTGTCGTCATGCAATGGCCCGACAGGTGACAGACTTTACCTAGCACACAGAGCCACCTTTATCACATAATAAGAGATACATATTTTGCTCTCATTTAAAACAGGAATCGGCTTTTTAACGAAAAAGGGAAAGCAAGGTTCTGCTTTTGTTGGACGCGTATTTCGCCGTTTTTACCGGGATTTTCTTACATATTCTCCCCACGAGGTCTGGGCTCGTAGCTCGACCTATAAACGATGCTTCGAAACCGAGCACATCCTTCTTGGTTAGTATCAGAAAGAAACTCGAGTATTTGCTCTTTTCATTTGAATACGCACGGCTACTCTGACCAATGACAGTGGATACTTCTCGTATAATTTGAAAACGGTGGTCACAGTCTCCGCAGTCTAGCTAACCATAAAGAAGGCTCCAAAGCTAAAATGTATTTTCAGTCAAATTAAAAACAGCAATTTGGTATATCTAACCGAATTGATTTCTCAAAAATCAGGTACAATGTACCCGCCACATGGAGATTGGGACTTCGGTTTTCCTGTTCAGCCGATAGCTATAATAATGGTACCCCAGGGAAATGACGTGCTCATCGAATCCTGTAAAGCGGAAGTCCTTCCCGACTTTAAGAAAGTATCAAATCGCTCACATTTGTCTCAACAGAACAACAATTATTTCTGCACTGCCTTATTAATTTTGCAGACATTGATTACCTGATCACAGCTTCAAAAATCAAAACTCACAGATTGAAGATTATTTGCACACATACGGGAAGATTTTTTGTCAAATCTTCCCGTATGTGTGCTTTTGAACTATGATTCACATATTTCGAACATATATTCGGAGAAACTTCATAGGGAGCAAGGTTAACTTTAATCTATTGTTATATGAAAACGTGAATGCTCAATATTGCAGGCACATCCATGATGAAACAGATGAAGCGCTTGTGAAGGACGGGTTTGCTTCAGCTGGCGGTAAGCAGCAAAAGCTTGCTTTAGAAGCAAAATAATCAAATTCATTAATCGTAGACTTACAGAAGCTACCTTGGATGTTAAATATTGAAAAAATTAATGCAACGATACGATCCTCTCGTTGTTTTGCTTCCATCAAGTTTATGAGCTTTAAAGAAGCGAACCGCAAAATTGTTAAAAGGCCTACTGATCGAGTCCCATGGGCTGTTGTATAGTGTATGAAACATTAGAACTTAACATTGCCTAAACGCCTCTATAGGTACGCTTTTAAAAGAATTTCTCAAACCTTTTTAAGCTCGAACTTTAATGCATATAAGAAACCTTATTGGTGCGTAGTGAAGACGTAAATTACACACCAACCCGTATACTTATTCGAAGATGTTTCTAAATTAGAATGATGCAAACCAGTATATCTACTTTTATATTTCTCCAGATTTCATGGCTTGGATTAGTGAAGTTTCTGGGTACTCTTCTAATAATTCTTCATTTTACGAGCCTATTATCGATGCACTGTATGCCCAGAAATACAATGAACTTCCCATTCCTAAATGGGCGGAATCGAAGTGGAGTTCTATGGACTGGGCCATGCGCAGGTGTGTAGAATACTGAACCTTTTCAAGATTTAAGACGATCACAAAACAAAGGGTCCTCACTAATATGGGACCGACATGTTTCATAAAATCTACCTCATCTCTCAAATGTATGTTGCTATTATAGTCACGAGCATAATCATGTTATTTGTAGACCAAATCCCCATTTTGGATACCATTACCTTACCTAGATGTCGGTCAAGTGCTTTGAACAGAAACGCAAGCCGATGTAGACATGGATATATTGTATTAGATGTTGTTTTTATGTTATGCATTGTATAATAGTATGTAGACTAATTTGTAATGAACTAGATGTGTATGTTTCGGCGTAAATTTGTAGGTTGAGCTACGATTACTGGATTAATTTCATTCCTTACTACGGGCAATACATGGGCAAGACGGTGAGTTAAATTATATCTACCCTGAAGCTTTGTAGGTAAAGTTTGTTTAATTCATGTTGTTCGCGTCTGATTTGCAGACTTACTTATACAGTTTAGTTTTTGCGCTCCCTATATAAAAGTTATGAGTTTTTCATAAGTGCGGACTATTTCATTGATCAAAAAAGCGTCTTATCTGACATTGGCGTATGATTGAGTATGTTCCGATTTAGATTGCTGAGCGTATGACGGCGGCAGCGAACAAGTCGATCAACGAACGTCTTTCGATTATGTCTTACCATGATACAACTATTCAGGTGAATATTAATATCGTACGATATTGTGCGTCTTGTGCGTGCTTCGCCATGTTCGAATGGCTTTCGATATTATTTATTATAGATAAAAGTGTCGCTGCCAGTAATGGTACGACTTCTTATTTCGAAAAATTAAACTGTATAGACAAGACGGACATGCTGATGCTACGAAACATTTTTACTGTATTTAGAATCAATTCTTTTTACTATCGCATTGCTGCTATATCCCCTTTAGAGGTATGGTAAAGAAATAATTACGTTCTTATTCGCTTCAATTAAGTAGTCTGTGTAACATCAATTAATTCTTCTTATTTTAGATAATCTGTGTGTCAGAGTAAGGTCTAGGTTTTCTCTAATTTCCTTTCTAGTTTGATTGAAAATCTGAGAAGATTGGCTTTTAGCACAGATGATTAGATGTTCAACATCAAGATAATTTGGTGTGCAATAGCCTAATGTCATATTTGAAATTGCATGTTTCTGTTAATTCAGGCTCTGATGAGTGCTTTGCAACTTGAATATGTGCGCCTGTACCCATCTTTTCTTGGAGCGTTGCACTTCCAGCTCTACAAACGGAAGTCAGATGGTTTGTATACCATATAAACATTTTTTTCTTAGGCTAGGTCTAAGCTTCAAGCCACCAGGTCGTTATAGTCGAGTACGAATTAAGTCAGCAGGCTCGCAGCGCGTCACCTACTAAAAACTAGGAAAAGCTGTCAATCTTTGAGCTTTAAAAAATTAGGCCAAATTTCCCCCGTTCGTTTTCCGGTTCATTGATCAAAAAAAGGACAGTATGCCGGTTGAAGTATGTTTTGCAGAGAAAACAGTTCCCTTCTCTGTAGCGGATACGTCGAAGAGATCTTAGTCATTAGAACTTGTCTTCCTTCGGCTGTCTTTTTCGACCGCGCGAACGCACTAACTATTATAGCATGATGCACAACAAGTTCGAACGTCGGAGTCTCTTTTTTCTTGGATGATTTAATTCGTTTCGTGGATATCCTGAAAGGAGATCTGAAGATGCAACTCTTTAGGGTAAAGGTAACGACGGAGGCCGCTTTATTTGTCCACATGGAGGTTCGGCGTAAGCAATGTTCATCACCCACTAAATATTTATTACGCCTCGTTTTTTTCCACCAGCAACAAAGCTGACGAAGGCGTTTCTCCCACCTGACTTAAACATCAGTTAAATGATAAATAAAAATAAAATATACATTACTATATCATAGTGTATATTGATTTGGACCATGATATATGGCCAGGTTTGCGTTATGAGAGAGTGGTCCGAGCGGGTCTGAACCAGGACTTTACCGGACAACCTAAACAACTTTTAGAGCAGAGGCATCGAACTCCGCTTTCGAAGATTTGCTTTCGCTAGGCACTGGCGCATATTTGTTTCTTCACATGTCCCTTAATGACAACTCCTTACGAATTAGTGTGAATGTCCGTTTTGTCGCCTGAAAGAATATGTGCGACGTGTGCAAAAAGCAGGTAGCCATTACGGTCTATCATGAGCGCATAGTTCAGGACTGCCTGCAGTCGAGTATATCCCATGTGCGAAGGAACCACAGGGCCTGAAGATGCATCCTCGAAGGCAATGTCCCGCTTGGACAACCTGATTCTAATATTTTTCCACCCGAGAAAACTCCTATGGGGCACAGAATGACGCTATGGCTGACACTTTGACTCCTCAACATATAACTCACTGAACCCATTCCTCTCGATGTGCTGTATTGAATGGGAAGCACATCGAGCTAGGGGCGTGCACCGACATACACAGACCGCACACCTGCCAAGCCGTTTTGCCTTCAAGCTATATGGAGTCATGGCTAACTTATTGGAAGAAGTTCATCAGTAAATGCTAACAACTAAAAACGTGCGGGACTATTTTATAACAATACAATGTTTCTCATTGGGCGTAGAAGATGGAAGTACAATGTTTGCTTTGAATGCTTTGCCAAACTAAGTAAGCATACGCACACGTAGAGCACACACGGGATGTTTTTTTTTATTCTGGCCCTCCTACACAAGCTTAAAATATTGTAACGCTCAAAATATACTTGCCAACGTGTACTACTTTTATTCTATTTTATAAAGCAGTTAAATAAAATGGTAACTAAAATAGAAATATCTTTATCAGAATCTTGCTAGAGACAGACGTGTTATCCTTTTCTATGATTAACATTTTTGTACCATCTCTCAGGGGAACGCTTCGTCCGCACCATGTATCACCAAGGCTTCACCACTGAGGGCGAATACCGTAAAGCCGATGAGCTTAAGCTACCGGACTGCTCGTTTCCAGATTGTCCAGTTGGCAAATTTGTTGAACTTATAGGTAATATTTATCCAAACACCAGTCGTGAGATGTGCAGTCCTGTCAATAGAAAAGCTCTCCTGTAAGAATCAGTTTTCTGCAGATTTAACTAAAGTAAGATAGTCCTAAAACTTAGATAACACTGATGCGATGTTTGCATCAACAGCTAGCGGCATATTGTCTTGGGTGGACGAACTCCAGGCGCCAGCTCAAATAAACAGGAACAAAAAGCAAAAAGGTTTTTGCTATAACCAGAAACAAAATAGATATTGCGGTAATCTGTGAGGACACTTAGCAAAAACGAATAAGCACAAACTTTTATCGTGTACAAAAATAACTTATTTCATCAGCACATATTGTGCTCATAGTTTTTGTCGCTACCTTTGCTAAGGTTGGCTATTTAAGCTAACTAAAATGTAATTATTTTTCCATCAAAAACAATATACAATATATTATTTTTGTTATATAGTACATATAATTTAACATTACAGTCAATTACTCGAATAGTTAGAGAAATTTTTGACGAGCTAAGCAATAATGGAGTACTTATTTCTATAGCTAAAAATAGGTATTTCAGTGTGAAATGACCGATAGCGGCCGTTTCGCCTATGCAATAATACGATGGAAATTCGTTTTGAAGTGGTGTTCAATCGTTTTTTAGTGAATTTCTGATAAGTACCAATTGGAAATTTGGAGCCGATGGTTTAGCGTATAATCTGGTAAGACACATCTTCTTAAACTGATTATTGGAGAGAAATGTCGAAATCATTACTTTCATAAGTTACCAGTTTCCTGGAACTAATCAACAGGTTTTTACAAACTGAGCTGAAGTAACTGAATTGTCACGTGACCACATTAGGAGAATGTATTAAAACCAAACATTGTTAATAAAGTAAATTTCTACACAATTATAGGTAAAATCTAGCAGTTATATTTAAAATTAATAGAGATGCATAGCATGTAGCCTGATGTGTGATTGTACTTATGCATCACTCGTTACACATGTAATATGTGTTATATCATTGTTTGAACGTTTAGTCGATAAATCATGATTTATAGGAAAAAAAAATAGGAAAAAAATAGGAACTGAAGGCCACTTTGTTAATATGTCCAATTACAGAACTTTGAACTTATTGAGTTTTTTGACAACAACAAGAGCCAATAAGGCCTTTTTTCTGTAGCGTGCAATTTGGTGGTCATAGCAAGGAATAAGCATTTAAAACGTGCAAAAGAAAAATCATCAGAGGTTAAAACTCGGGGCGCTACTGCTATGGCAAAATGTTATTCTGTATCGTGTATATACGGTAATACAGGAGTTAATGTACGAGTTTCGCGCGGCCGATCCGGGTATGGCGATCAAAACGACCTAAAGAAGGACTCGTTGCGTACAGAACTGCGTCATGCTTGTTTAGTAATGAAGAATGTTCCTATGCCCCACTAATTAATAAAATCCAGATGAAATCTCCTTCGTTTACCGGTTTCATCTTAACAGAATACGTTTCCTAGTAGTCAGTTCTAACGTATCAGTACTGCCATAATCGATGATAACTTTTCTTCAAATATATAGGTTAGAAGGTAACACTGCAGCATGAAAGCAATAAGAATTATCAAGTGTAATGTAGCAAGTGTAATGGTTCCAACGTACTTTTTAATTCCGTGTACGAGCAAAGTGTTTCACGAAATTGTGGGTGCATCTTTACGTAAAGTCACTATTCTTTTGCTTCCACTATAACTTCATGAACCATTATAGTCAAAGTATGCGATAAAAAAACCAATTCCCGTTGCTTAGAAGTTCACTAATACAATTAGGATGATCTATTTAATTACGTATTTCCTGGTTTACTCACTACAAGGATCTTTAAATAATACCTTATATTATTTGACGGCTAGATGTTTCGCAGATACTTACGATAGTAATATTGCGAAGCTCAGTGCATTTTCTCTCTATACCCAGAAACACAGGTCATACTATCGCCATATTTTCGCAGATGAAACAATGAACTGTCACTAAAGTAAAAACAGCATTTCGCTGGAGGTCTTTTTTACTATAAAGATCATATATGGACTTCCGGAAAGGTGTATTATTAGCCTATTGTACAAGATCAATAACTTATGTATGATTGGGTCGTTCTAGCACTTCAAGGGTCCTATAATGGAGATGACAAACCGAAGTGGCTGAGTGTTTAACACATCACGGAGCACTAAGGCATAACGTGAGTACTTGAATAGCGGGAATTGGTTGGAACATATATGGGACCGACATTGACCTAATGCTTTGTCTTTTTTCAGCAGCCAATAAACAGCTGCTCGCAGAAGCAGTACACTAAGTTATAAGGTCAACTCTAAAGAACTTTGCTGGATAAAATAACTGTGGCAATGACATAAGTCTGAGTAAGTAATGCTCCCTAGTTACTTGCTGCGTGTGGCGAGGGATGGATACGTGGCTTTTGAAGATTGATTCGAAAATAGGTTTTCCTTTCATCTAAACGGCTCTAAAATTTAAAGCAGCGGAAAAGAAAAATGGATAATTGCTCAACAAAGACCGAAAAAAAAACCATTTACCACATATTTAAGTCATTTACCAACAAATTTAAGACAGTCATACGACGCAATAGAGATTTAGATAGAATGTACAGTTTGTATTTGGGCCAGCGTGGTAACATTCACGGGAGGACACCCAAAATGTTATGCATCGAGCCTGAAGGCAATTGTTATTCGATAGGACCGTCTAAAGTGAATCAGATGGAATGAGTTTCTACTCAATCCAGACCATGGCTCATTTGGAGACACGTGTTAGCCTGAAGCTAGTATTTATTACCAAGCACCGCACGGCGACACGCGAACCGTGAATTCATACGCCACCGACTAACTGTCATGGTATATGTAACCTAGATTCTGTTTCAACTTGCCGACAGGTATCTGAAACAAGGATTGATGAGGGAGCGTGAAGGATTTAATAGCTGTATTTTATTACACATGCATATGAACCGGACAACTGCCAGGCCGATAGGCAGAAAATAAGTGATAAGTCCAGAATGCAAAAAACCTGAGTGTATCATAGGTAATTCATTATGCTGACGATAAATTTGGTTCGGTAGATCGATTCCATGAAACCATACTGTGTGACTATGTTGCATTCGACCAGCGGTTTCGGTATTGGCGACCACATGGTGTAATGATCGCTTAACTGTAATTTTTTATTTCGAAGATTTAAAGTAAAAATGACATGATAAAAAAAAAGAAGAGTGGGTTCTACAAGAAAATCAAGTGGTCAAAGAGGTTGGCAGCCTACTGAATGTCAGAACATTATCACTCTTTCACCGACTCTTACTGGTAAACTTTTGACTCTCGAGTACAAAAAATGAACGGAAAACATCTTCCTGAAAACAATAAAATTAGGGTTCATTATTGAACCGCTAAACCCAACAGTAGACACAGCGGAATATTCTAGGAATTCCTCTTCGTCAGACGTTCAACACAGAAGATCGTTCTCAGTATGAACTGTGAGTTTATGAAATTAATATTCAATAGAACCTTCGTGGAAGCGCTTTTCAAAAATATTTAGTAATAAAAATACAAATCTAGTGGTGTTTGTTGTTGTTGAAATGGCTAGCTATTGTAGGGTAAGAATATAGAAGGATCATTTACCTTCAATACCATTTTAAGCTAGTTAATTTCCTATTAAAATGTATCGCTGCATTGCACTTATTGGTTTTGTTTGAATGGTAACAACCCGAAAACAGTCAACTTTTTCACATACTTCTATTTAACCTGAAAAACAAGGAAGTCTGAAGAGTCTTTTACAGCACATCTTAAAAAAGTATCAGGAAGACAATGGTAATAAGAGTCACTATTCAAAATTCTCGAGAGCTATGAGTGGATACCACAGTCAAACCTTATTAATCTGAAGTCGCGTCAATTGCCACTCATGGTATCCGAATCATTAGATCTAATGATTATAGATACTGCGTTTCTAATATCGGCTTTCTATAGTCGTGCTCCAACATCAAATCGCTCAATGTATCCATTAGTTGATACTTCGTTGCACGTTGAAGATATCTGCAAAACGTTTGAACTACACAAAGCAAAATGATATTACATGAATTTTCATGGGGAGACGCAAGTTAGAAAAAAATGGATTGGATCATTTGTTCTTTAACTGACATCCATTGATTAATGATAATTCGGAACTCCTTAATAGAAACAATTGTCACATCCAGGTCTGCATTATACGGACTTCGATATTTAGTGGTTTAAGGAGCACGGACATACCATATACGAAATCGCAAGCGCATCCAAAATATTGTAAAGCTAAATTTTCTAGATATTATTTTAGGCGATGTAGTCGAATCAGCTCAGTCAATCAATCAGCCTCGCTAGCTCCAGTGTCTAAACGAAGTCAAAGCTTTCCCGGTGTGAACAAGCGCAAATATATGTATCTACTGTATTTCATTAGGTATTGAGTAAGCTGACTCGCTGGCTGGATGAAGATTCGTAAAATAACGTCTCATTTGTTGAGTCTGCTAGTAGAAGCAAAGTAGCCATGAACTCGGGAGAAGTTAAACCTCGTTAACGAAAGCCTAGTTTACCGCCACTATTCTCATTGATGAAAATGGCCGACCCGTTTCGAAGCTAGTCAATACTTCATTAGCAGTCGTTCACTAATACCTGTAATATCACAATGAAGGATCTACAGAGAACAAGCAGTGAAAAGGTTAACGACAATAAATCGCAAAAATCCTTATTGAAGCCTAATGATAGATAAGCATCTCGTTCTTCGCTATGACCATTGCATGGCTAACGTTTACTGAGGTATGCTAACATACTGAGGTGAATGTTGCATTTGCACTATGCTTTGCTAAAAATTCTATTAACACATATTATCAAACCAGTGGGCTTCGATAATTACTCGTTTCAGAAATTTTCTGCTTATTATCTTCGTTAAACTCATAGAAAATCTTCACACAGATCACGTTAAACATAAAAACCGATAACAACACAAGCGTCTCTAGGTTTTGATAGTTGATGATTGTAGAAAGGCGAAAAAGCTTGAAGAATTAGAGGTTTGTGATGACTCTACACATCGAAATGTCGTTTGGTGCAAACTTCGAGTGAATCAGTGCGAATAAATATAAAAATAGTGAGTGGACGCGTGTTTTAACTAAACGGCAAAATAACAAATACAATTGATGAGGCTTTTTTACAAGAATCCGGCTCTTGCTGTGTTTTTCAACTTCAATACTTATACCGGCCGATGCGATAAGCAGTAAATTAGAAGTTAAATTTCACAGAGCGAAGCTCAAACTAATCTTTTGATCGTTTTTTTCTGTCCTGTTATATGTCATCAATGTTGGAATTTACTCAATTAACATAACATTTAACATACAAAACAGGATTAACAGATATCCACAACATGTACGAACAAAGTACTACAGATAGCCACTTCCATGTACGTATATAGTTACCCAATATCAGGACTAGTTTTATTATGGGGGAACTCTGGAGGATTTTAATAATAGTGAATAGATAGGCATTCCATAGAGGTTAACTAGTTATTGGGTTCCCTCAACTAGGCAGTATCGAATATTAAGAAAACTAGTAAAGCAAATCAGTTTGCTTCTTTCTCCTACCATAGACGGTCGTGCTTGTAGCCTTTCGACCATTGAGGAAGAATGGGACAAGACGCTTGTGATATGAATGATATAAAAGCCGAAGGTCAGCGAGAGCAAAGTAGACTTCAAACCGTTTTGGAGAAACAACACCAGTAAACTTTTAATACCATGACGAATCGTAGACACATTGTTGCATGAACAGCTGTTATATAGGAATGCTTTCTACGTCATAACTTATCACTGTGGGTGCGCTGTTCGATTCAATAAAAAGTTCGCATTAGCTACCCGGGCAGTTTTCTGCTGTTAGAAGGTCAGAGAAAAACATATAGCGACCTACCCAAAAGCATGTTCAACGCTGACTCTAATAATTGCCTCCTATATTATCTACGTGCCGTCCATTTTACGCTGCTTCAGGAATCGTCTCGTTTAGTTTCTGCCTGCAACCACCGGAAGCGGGCCGCATCTGTTAGGCTACGCCATGTCCCTATCATCAGTGATGCATAAGTGAATAATTTGTTTATCTTTTTTAGCTTTCAGCTTCTGCCTAGGTTTGAACGTACCGATCAAACTGAAAACCTAACCAATCGGTATCATAACAACTCGCCATGCTGTAAATAGCAATTTCTGAACTCACTGAACCATTTACACGTCTGGGCCCTTTTATACAAGCGCGACTAGAATTTTTGTTTATTCAGTCTTGATTTATAAGTGAAATACCTATTACATCATTATACATTGGTTTAAAACATTATGTACGAGTCAGTGTTGAACTGTGAAAAGGCTACAGAGGTTCTCAAATGTACTACCTCTCTAGCGCCGATGAAAGATCTCTTTTCTTTTTTTGAAAGATGAAAGAGTTACTGACATATTTGGTGACAGTTTCGAGTTGCGCTTGGCGCGCCGTAATGACAGACGCCCCTTTAGATAGTTTGCTATAGGCCAAGTTGAGGATATTTTGAAAAATTAACATTGTTGATAATCACCAATTTTTTATACGAAATTATAGCGAACACATTGAAGATTTATTTCCTTAATATGTAAATAGTTAAATTCCAAACACTATTTAAAACGACTCACTAGTTGTTAATGTAATAAAGCAATAGGGGTAGAATTGTTTACAATGTAAAGCTAAATAACAAGACACGTATAATTATTGCCCATATAAATCTAACTTCGATATATATATATATATTTCCATAAGTCAACACAGCCATATAACAGAGATATTAAGTAGGCTTCATATCAGTGATCTGTTATATTAATAAGCGTTGCTTATTCGCATTTTAGAAATGCGTGAAAGAACTTTACACTTTCAAGGTTGGTCCACATTAAAAAAAAAAGATCTGAAATATCTAGGTAAGTGCCAACGACCAGAAAAGTAGTTGGAAGGGGAAACAACAAGTCCGAAATAAGCTAAAAATAAAATATTGCCCTGGCAGAATGAATTTCTGATAAAACATATCGTGGTCAAAAATTGCATGAAAATGACAAATTACACTGCGGAAAATACAATGTAGCTTTCCTACTTTCAGGCTAAACTCTACAATGCCTTTTGAATAAATCTTTCCACAATGATTTTTTGACGCAGTAGCTCAATTCTTACTGTTACCTGGCAGAATGCGTTTAAATAAAAACAAATGCAACAACAATGCATTACATGGACGATAGATTTCCTTTAAGCATGCTGCAACGAAAGTATTTTTTTTAATAGTAATTTTTTATTTTTTTTTAATTTAATAATAAAAGAAAACGGTCCCTAACTGTATTATAGGAATCATAACTTACAATCGATTAAGCTAAAATTATATTTAAGAGAATTTAAACAAAATCTTAACAGGGTCATCTAGCCACGCTACCTAGTCATAAGAACACAGCCAAGACTGCAGAGAAAAGCATGTCGACCCGGCCCTTGTGGTTGAGGAATCCCCTTCTACACGCGTCTTTGCATCAGCGGTTGAATCGCCTCGATATAGCACGTCAAAATAAAAATACATCCATTCTGTTAGGAAAAAGAAGCTTTTCGATACGCTTGTTTAACTCTAATGATAATTTGAGTTTGACATTAGAGATCTGTGTTCGTAGAATGCATTTCTAACCCTAGAGAATAAATTTAGCACGGCTCACACTACTGTTCTACATATACTCGGATAGCACTTTTCGGTGTAAAAGCCAGTCAGCGGCCGCCAATTTAGCTGTACGTATTCAACTTGACTGAAAAGCAAAGATTGACATTTGGACTGGGTTGAATTTTATTTTTTATTTTATTTAAAGAATTTTATCAGCAATTTAATCTTAAATCAGACAGCAGTTTTTTTTTTTTATAACCTCCTTGAAGTGACTGTAACCAAATTAATAGATATAAGGAAAATTGCAATCTAAAATTGCAAGGTTCTTCTAAAACATTAAAACTCCCACTTATTTGCTGTCTTTCGCAAGCAATACATCACGCATATAATAACCTAACTTAGGTAGAGATATTTCCACCGTTTTTAGCTATTAAATAATATTTCGTTTTTTCCTTAAATATCTACTATGTTCTTTTTCGCCGTAATATCAAAAAGCAGCATTACAGTACTGCATGGCTCTAAAGGTTCTAATTTTTTTTTTTGTTATTAATCATTTTAGATCCTTCCATGAAACCCACTTGCTGTACGGTTTTGGATGAGGTCGAAGGACCTAACGAAACAAAAAAGATTAAGTCACAACCTACAAATGATTCCAACAATGCATGCATAATTTCAACTACAACTACAAATATGGCTAAGTCTGTTGTAATGAATAAACCGATTCGGCGTGGAATGGTACAGTGTTTCGTCTGTGGCGATACCTTTACCAAGTCGTTCTTACTGCGAAAACATCGAGCAGAACAGTGTGGCATCCAATGTCTACATTGTAGCACCGTTGTTCTGGAGCCAAAAATGGAGCAGCACTTGTGGGTTTCCCATGGACTACCGGCTGGGCTTAAACGCACAGGGGATCCGTCAACAGGCCATGTCACAAAGGCGTTCATAATCCGCGATAAGACACCTAAACGACAGGAAATCAGGCTTCACAGGCTTTCAGGTGTAGTTACCGAAGGGTACACTTGTACAGGCCGTAGAATCTTTGAGGAATCGAACGTTAGTCATACTGCTAAAGACAACCACTTCCAACAAAAACCCATCAAAATACTAACTAGCGCAAGAGTTGAACCTTTGTGTGCTTCCGTTGAGAAAGCTACTGACTTTCAGACCGTTCTATCGCAGAGTTTTCCTTTTCAGGGCCAAGTCGACGTGAACGAAGTAGAAAAAGCAGCCAGTGATTCCGTAAGCATACACCTGTTCAGCGAATGCGAATCCAATACGACTCTTTTCCTCGAGCCGAATCGTGATGCACCTAAGTCCTTAGCAGCAGCAAAAATTACGTCGACTGGCGCTGCTGTTACTCTTCCGGGTAGGCACCCTTTAAAAAAACAACCACCGTGCGAACCTGAAGCTGAGGACGAACTTGGCTATGCGACGATGGTATCAGCAAGCGAACAGACATCTACCGTCGATCCTAGTAAACGAAAATTTATAACAGAAAGAAAGAAACGGATGGGCTGTGCACAACATCTTAAATCACGCGAAGAATCGCAATATCATTTGCTCACACATCCTGTCGAGACGACCTTTGGTGGTCAAGCACAACGCCGTCACGAGAAGTTACCAGTTAGGACAAATAGGATGAGAAGTAACAGCAACAACCGAAGCTTAGAAAAGCTAAGAAGATCAGTAACAGCTAGCAATATCGTTCACTCTATAGTAAATTGTGCCTGCGGAGCTCTATATAAGACCTCGCGAAACTTGGATAAACACATGGAACGATGTCCATGGGTGATAAAAGGTGATAAAAAGAGTATAGATAAAAGGACATTTACTTCGCTAACTGAGAATTGCACGAGCAGATCACTGACAACTTCAAGTGAAGCTGAAAAGCAGGCTAACATCTTCGTTATACGGACAGCTGGAACAAGTAGTGGCACTGAGCTCGATGTGGGGAATAGCGCTCGCAGTAGCGTAACTTTTTCAGAGGCCGTCGACCTTATGACACTATCTGGCAAAACGCTCAAATGCGAAACATGTAAGTTAGTCTTTAAGAAACCGGAAACTGCGGAACGTCATCGGGCGGTCGTTCATACACTTCGGCCGAAGATGTTCAGGCATAGTGCCGCGATGTTTGGCGGTGCTCAGAGACGCAACGTGATTTTAACTGGACTGCGAGGAGCGCCGCCGCCTAAACAGACGAAAAGTTTAGAGTGCCATTTTTGCCCAAAAACGTTTCGCACAAAACAAACTTTGCTGACCCATTGCGCCAAATATCATGTTCAAAGTGTACTTGGAGTTGTATAAGGTTCTACTCGTAGAGGTTGGATCCACGTTGATTCACTAGCAATCAGCTAGTTCAGTCGCTCAATGACTTTTCTAATCTGATATTCAACTATCTGTATACTACATGTTTATAGTAAATAGATGGCAAACCAGACAGTGGTCAAAATATGTCTATAAACTTTTCGTAAACGTAATATTCGAATATTAGTCTTCGAAGTAGTCGAAGAGTGGTCTGATATGAGTACTTCATCTAATATATTGTTCATACTGATTATACACGACTTCTCATGTGATACATCAGATAATTTACGTATCTCAATATCGCAAATAGATGGTTAAACGATTGTATATTAACAATGAGTACTTTATTTATAGACATTCTATGCGTAAGAATTTCATTGGTTGTGCAGTGGAGCCGAATTTGGGTAAAAATATATTTTTTTTACTCAGATTTAATTGCGCCTTACCTGTTCACTTGATTTAAAGTACGCCATAATGTGAAGAAAGGTTTCTTCACAAGCGGCGCCCCTTTACAGCGCTAGTAATTTTGTACTTCACGAAATTGAATAGTGTTAGCTATGTGATCATACACGATTATTAACTACAAAAACTAACGACAAAAGATACGGATCCGATCTCGCTTTTACTACCGACAGATATCGCTCGATATATCTACATGAAAAATGATTTTGGCTTTCACCTTGCCTGTGTCAGACTTTAAATACCAGCGTTGAATAAAAAGGAAAGAATCCCGCATAGTCAATGAAGCTCTTATTTTTTGTTCCTTTATTAAGCACACTTTGTTCGCAGGTGTAGAACTTCTCTTAGTTGGTGTCATTACTTGGCTTAATGACTTTTTCGGCGCTGAATCAAATAGTTTACAAAACAGGTCGACATTTACATTTATGTCTGGGTAAGCCTTTTCATCATTTAGCAGGGGACAGATCTCTGCTTTATCCTACTAAAGTCACTTTCAACCTACTTCGACATTTTCGATAAAGGTTTGATTTCAACTAGTAATAATTCTTAAATAAACTGCAATACACAGACTCCTTGTTTTCTCTCAAAAAATACTTTATGCTTTTTCACTCGTCCAAATTTCAAACACGCCATAATATAGTATGATTCCGTTAGTGGGAGGAACTTCTCCTGAAATAGTTGGGTATACAGTAACAGCTGATATGATTTTCGATTAGCCATAAATTATCTGTTCCGGTTACCAGAGGTAGTTCTCCTCTTCAACAGAAGGAACCTCCTGAATTTTAATTCCGTCGACGAGAACGGCCTTACGCTCCTCGGCACTAATGACCTCACCGATGATCCATGATTCTCGTCCTTCGAGCTGTTTAAGCTCGTCGATAAACTGTTTTGCCTTGTCTGGTTTCAGCATCATGAGCAGCCCGCCTGAAGTCTCCGCTGAGGTGCCTTGCAAAAGTGTCTGAAACTTCCCACTTTTTTCCACAATTGCAGTCGCATTGCGTATTACAGGAAGTGTATGGATGCGCAGCTCAAGACTTTTTTTCTGGACTCTAGCGAGATTATTTGCATGACCCTTAATGCCAAATCCGGTTACGTCCGTGCAACCGTGACACTCGTATTTTAACATTAAAGACGAGGCTGTCGAGATTATCATGAAAAGAAATTCACCAGGAACGAGAAACACGTCAGTCAATTTATCAGTGAAGTTATCCCAACCGACCAACATGCTCGAGTGAACACGGAGCTCTAGGGCAGACGCGAGGTGCTCGCACACCCATTCTGTGGTAGAAAAGAGAACCATTAAAAAAGCTGAAAAACCGGAAGAAGCCACTGGTAGCGAGCTTTTTGGAGCCAGATGGGTCCTGCCGGGCCTGTAAGCTACTCATCAATAAACGACTGGAACTACTTAATGTCTCTTCCGAAGACGATCTCTGAAAGAAACGGAGATGGCCCTGATTCCACGAGCGGTAAAAATAAATGGAATGGTGTATAGACCCACTTTTTTCCTTAATGCGCCTGCCACCAAAGTTGTTGAGGTTTTTATCACAAAAAGGCTTCAGCAGAAAATCGTGGTTAACCAAAGTTCGTAACACTCACGGTATGGCTACAGGTCGATGGCTATGCCAGCACTAGATTAGAAGATTCTACATAGATAGAAAGCTCTATAATCAACATTTTCCTGACACGATATGTTAAGAATCCACTCAATACGACGAACTGAATGATTATGGCGTGAAAAAAGATGTCTCCTGTTGCAGTTTGATAAGAACGTTACCGCGGAATTGTACGCAAGTCGGTTCTCAACGATGTGAGACCTCGCCTTTAACCGGTGGTAGAAATCGTAGCGCTGTATGCTGCCAAGATGAGCAGATACTGCTCTAGACAAAAACAGGAAAACATCGTTTACGACCTATCGTGAACAATCCAAAAGTATAGTTAAAGCATGTAGAGCTATTTTCATTGAAGCAGTCTTCGTGCTCGCAAAGGTACTGTCCCGCTAAGGTACTGTTTTCGGATCTTTTGCCGGGGGAGAGAGAGAGAGCTATACGATGCCTACAGGACGATATAGATCTATAACGACCACAGCCAAAACAACATAAAGAAAAATCACAACCACGAACGGTAGGAAAACCAAATACTGTATAAGGTCCTTTATCCCGGATCTGCAAGTCTGGTATGATAACAACAGCGACCTCATTACACAGGTGTCGAGTGGACACGCCTAGCACTAAGCCTGTAAGAATAGGGAAAACGTAGTGTACTATGGGCTCCATATAGAACAAGTAAAACGCACTACACAAAGAGCTAAGAAAAAAACACGGCCTAACCAGGTTCTATCGAATTACCGGTCTTATTGAGATGCGACATGCTGTCGAGTGCGCGGAAGTAAAGTTTTTTGACGCTTTCCACAGACATTCCGCCTAAAAGCTTCATTCCTTCCTCTCCACGATCCAACCATTGATGGGCGTTGACAGCCACTTGTGTTCCCAGAGGCTTCGTCAACACAAGAACATCACCAGCTTCGCCGTTATCAGGCCTAAAAGAACATTAGCAATGAACATTATTTGAGGAAACATACCACAATCATATCTAGTTCTTTGGTCAAGGCCTATTTACGGCGTTAGCTTATTATCTAGCGCGTTGTGGTTAACAATGCAAGAGGAATAGGATAGATAGTGATGGAGAACTTCTAGACATCGACGGAGGTGACACCATGCGGCGGCATGGGTCGACTTACATAACGATTTGCTCACGATGCACGCAGGCAGTGGCTACACCCCCAATAATCGGCCAAGGATTCAGAATGGTTTGGCCTCCACGGATACGTGTGCCAGCTTTTATAGCATGATCGTTCAGACCACGCATCAACTGCGGGACAACCTGTATCAAGACCATAATATGGAAAAAAGAAAAGGAAAAAAATCTCAAGAACATGAATCCTGTAACAGTTAAGATCCATTAAGTTGGCTTCCGTTTTGCTCGTGCTTACAAGATCTGGGGATACATTCAATTAATTTCTAGTAGATGCAGAAGTGTACGCAGATACCATGATTTATATGTAGTAGGTATCAACACAGGCACATAAATATACAGTAGTCGTACTATCCCCGTAATGTTGTGTAGTGGTAATTTGTTTGGTCTAGGTTCTAAGTGGGAGTGGATTAATTCATGCCTGAAGCAACACTATGGCAGTAGCACCGGCCATTTAATTATGTTTCTCTTCAACACTGTATACGTCTATGGAGTAAAATCTGTATGAATAAACCTTTTCACGTTCATCAGGTGTCATTTCGCGAGCTACGGCAAGAACCATAAGCATATTGTCACATTTAGTAATGCCCATGGCATAGAGATCCGACAGGACATTTGCGCAGGCTATTTGACCCTGCAAAACAGCCGATCAAATACACATTATTAGAGTGAACAAATTTTATACTGTTTACTACGCCTCCTCTAATACAGCACTGCTAACGTCTAATGGCTTTGAGATGTTTAGCTAGAAAAAGATGAATCTGATTTAATTCAGAATTACACTCCGAAAATAATAAATGCATATTCTACAGGTCTCCTACGATTTATAAATCAGCACATTACTAAAGGACGTATTTTTTGAAGTGCTATATTTTGTAATAACACGTTTTCATCACTGTACACTTACGTACATTTGCGTAAGGGTCTTCAACGGACGGATAAAAATAGTCGATTGTTTGTACGAGAGAAAATCCGGAGTCCTCCAACGGAATAACGCAACAATCCATACCTATGTCTGTAATGATCAGATTTTCTTAATATAAATAGCTCAACTGAGCTACGGACGTTTATATCTGTATTTTTTAGAGGAGGTTAAAAAATCAAATCCCGTTCACGACATCAAGCCTCATTTGCAGATATATTCCTTTTAAGGTAGCATGGAGCTTTAGCCAGCGCTTCCTAGCCCATTATTGCACACCCATCGCTTTGCGGCAAGTACTACTTTTAATATTATTCAAACTGACTAACCGAGGGGTAGCATACATAGTTAAATAATCGCAGTTTCATATTGAATATATCCCTATGGTTTACGCACTTTTCCGACAAAATCGTTGGTTTTAAAATAAAAAGGGACCAGCCGTCGCGTTAAAGTGTCTCTTCACATTTACCGTACAAATAATGCTTCTATCATTCTTCATGTTTTGTACGTAACATTTGTTACTGTTATGATTATTCGTCTACGACGTGTTCAGTCATTAGAACCGACTATAAGAACCTTAGTTCTTACCGACAGAATTCCCAGAATCGTTGTCTGAATGATCGATCGCAAGGGTTTGATTTCTTATCGATTTTAGAAGATCGTCCAGTTCCTTCTGGGGCACCTGCAGATAAAAATGCAAGAGAACGAATAAACCGTATGTTCTTACTTAGGTTAGATTATAATAATAATAATAGGAATAATGCCGAATATGCTTACGTGTTTAATAGGGTTTACATATGAAAATGGCCGTTCAGGCCCGTATGGCCGAATTAACACATACGTCTAGGCAATAAATGTAGTTCAGCTTGTTCTTTAACATTTCAAGTGATCAATATTGTCATCAACGCGTTCGTCGATGTAATTAAATTACGTATGTTGTAGGTGATCAGAAATCAAACAACTTAATTTTAGTTTAGGGTAAATAAAAACTTGTTGTCACGTGTACTTCATTTAAAACTAACCTTGCAGCCTCATCCTTTCATTGAAGCAAAACGCGTTAACCGAAAGTCGGCGCCAAGCCCTAGTGACGTTGGGTCAAAATCTTTGAGCACCCTGTCAGGTTGATCAGGCTGCTTTACGCGAAACTCCATAGTTCGAACTGTTATACTGTTGTTAAGATTTCAGTGGCCTTTAACTACCTGGTTGCTAAAAAATAAGAAAATCTACACAACAGGATTACAGTGGTTATTCATAACAAACATTTACCGACAAGCTATCATGGTTATTTAATTTTTTACTTTTACATTCTTACTAGAACCCGACTTTATTCGAAATGAATAACGACCGTCAACTGATGAGCGAAGCGCAAACGCGTTCAAAATGTACAAGATAGCGCGGCTCTTGTTGGCACATACAAATTTACTTAAAAAGTAGAGAGTCGCACCGATAAACTCCTTAACCAGCTCGGCCTATAAGAAGCCTTTGCAGTAATTTTACGACAAATACCTGACATCTCTACACGTCATCCGGCAGTTTAACACTTTTGTAATATTGCAGAGAGTAGCAGCTACTTATACACTTACCAGTTCAAACGGGGATGCCTGAAATCGACAGGCGGTTTACAGCTGATTATTGGGGCGCTTTTCTCACTTCCACGCATGAACGCATTATTCGTTCGCAGCGCGCGACTTGAGCAGCGATAAGCATGCTTGCATGCTAGTCTTGACAAGCTTTAAAATATACCTGATCTGAGCGAAAGATGACGGGTCATTTGTAAGTTTTTCTGACCTATGGATTTGTAATCGTTAGTATCGTATCTCAATTTTTGTATTGTCGTCATTAACAACTACTTACATAATTACTGTGATAAGAATCAGAACAGTGGCTTCAAAGACGAGCGCATCTAGTGACACAAATGAATTGTTGGCATCTACTCTATTAGTAACAATATTATTTTAAGCTTCTTTTTGCGACCGCTGAAGGAAGTGTGCAGCGCTTCACTGAGGTTTTTCAGCAACACGTACTGATAGAAGGCCATATCTTTACGCATAATAAAGTTTTTGGGTGAGGGTAAAAGTGAAACGTCTTTCTTGGCCAAACTTCGGGTTAGGGTGCCGCACGATTTCCGACTATCGAGTGTCTCTAAATAAGTCTTTAGCTGCACACGCCCGATTTAGGCAAATCGAAAAGCCTAATCCGTAAGGGTATCGCTCCAGTAGCGCCTCGTAATTTCGTTTTTTCGATTGTTTGTTTTGCGCTACTGAAATCCACATGCAGACGAGTATGTTTATATGTTTCCTATGACTTAACGATATATATTTACTAGCTGTAATAACATAACGAGTGCAAGATAGGAAAACCTATCCAAATTGGCATAGATCAGCCTTCTTTGTGCCATGGTCGAATGTAGCCAACGTACGGCTACGCGTTGTACAACTATGTACAAGTATGTTGGACGGTATTTTGGTAAAACAGGTTATCAACAAGCACTATATCACTGACCATATAAGTTAGCTCAGTCGAGCCGCGCGCACGTAACAGTGCAGTCGATCCGAAAATTGAAGTACGAAAATAAAACAAAATTGGTACATTAAAGTATCCGGCCCAAAATGGGGCCTAGTGATCTTTGCGACATCTCTTTAAACTTAGCGGCCGAAGAATTACATCCTTGTCGAAAGTGGTTTGAAAAAGCAGCAGCAGCAGCAGCTGCTGGTGCGCGTACACCACAGCTTACGGTTGGTAACCTTGCTGATCGCATAGCCCTCATTCGAATACTTAATGTACGACAAGAGCTACTTAGGTGGCTGTCATGGACTTGGACAACTGAACCGTTAAGCGTCATTCGCCAGCGCCATATATCCTTATTGACGCAAGTCAAGCAAATGGGTATCGTCCTTGGAGAAAAACCACCTTTAGGAGTTCCGGTTGTAGGAGAGAACGCACATCCATTAGAAGCGACGCAAGCGCTTCTGCAATGCAATTACGGTTTATGGCTTGACGAGCAATTAATAAAAGCTCTTGGAACGATTTCACAGAATACGAGGTATAAACAAATTTTTAGACTCTCGGAATCTCTCTATGAGGAACTACTGGGTGAACTTGAGCTTGAATGGGGCCGAAAAGACACTCATAAGATAGCTGATAATGAAAAAAGAAGGCTGCTTCAAATAACAAGGCCTTCAATTAGAATGTACCAGCTCTTGTGGACTGCTGCGTACGTGCTGTTTTACGGTTACACGTTTTACGATGATGTCGTCACAGCGATCGGATACTTACGAGATGGGGCTGTTCTTGTGGGAGTGCTAATCTACATGTGGGTTTTGTGGAGGGCAGTCGTCGTGTGCAATAACAACAGGCACCGATACAGCAACGAGACGTTGATGCGAAAATTAATGATCTTTTTGGTAACCCCTGCGATGCACCTTTTTGATTACCTGTCGATAGGGCTCATACAGTGGAAGCTATATAAGTCCCGAAGTCAGATCGCAATTACCCAAAGCGTTATGGCGACTCTGAGCGATAAACAAAGGACGCTAGACCTGCGGATGTATAGCCTAATCAACAACGAATATCTGCCCCGGTTATTTATGTACTTTCAAATTTTACTGCGCAGCAAAATTGTGGCGTTTAATCTGTTCGCTAAAACGCTCACTGATTCCAGTTATCATTTGTTATATTACATGATACACATCATGCTCAGCTCGACGCCGTATGCGGATAATTTCTGCTGCGTTCGTTATAGATTTATTAGTAACGGCGTCCGTCGGAAAGTTCTGTCGACAATTCAAGACGGATTTGGGCTAACGGCACTGCACATTGCATTGACGCTGTTCGCTCTGAAGATGCCATGGCAGCTTTCCCTAATTGCGTGGCTTGTCAGGACAATACTTTGCATTTATGGAGACGGCGAGTCAAAGTTTAAGAGTTGGATTACACTGCTTTCGACCAAACAAGGATGGGTATACTTTTTCGAGATGCTCCTTTTCCATGCAATTCACCCATTCACCCAAAATGCCTCCGAAAGCCAAATCCTCTTCTGTAATATTATTGAACTAGCAACTCTGACGGTATTCTATTGCTATGTCTGCCACGTTAGAAAAGAACAAGTGTTCTGGCTGTGGTTATATACTGCGGTAGTCGCCTTTGTTATCAGTAGCATGGTGCGCCAAACGATCAATTATCTGCAGGAAAAGGCTGAGATGCAAAAATGGTCGCTTGCCTCAAGTTAGATGATGGGAACTTGCTTCGCGAGAAAAGCTCGACCACTGATTACAATTACTGCCTGTTCCTCAATGTGAGTTGTATTTATTTAAATCGTATTTTAAATGCACTTCAGTTTTATTTTTTACGTACGAGGGCGTGAAAATTACCTAAAAACATCGTCGGTCTTTTAGTCTTCTTGTTCAATGCTTCCTGTTTGACGAGCCTGTTTTTGATTACGAAACACTGAGCTTGTCCTATATACAACAACGGGTTTTGTACATTTGATTTATGGGAGCAAAGGAAGGAGATGTTGTTTCCTGAAGTCTTATTTTGTAGGCCGTGTTATCTATGCCTCGCTGAATGGATTGTGCCCAATAGTCCGTAGAGAGAAGCTGAGGATATACGGGTTTGTATCTGTAGTATCACCGAATTGCATAAACTTGGATGCTTCTCGGGCCGCAAACAACTTGTTCCTGCCGCTAAATTAGGTAGCTGTTCTGCTGTGGACCAGCTCTTATGGATAAATTTCAAAACGACGCTATTTAAAAAAGTAGGATCTTCCACACCCGCATTTACGAGGTATTTATCTAAATTTGCTACCGCAGTCTGCTCAAGCCGAATAGGGAGAGAACATCGTAGGAACTCCTGCGTGGTCAATCATAAAATTAGTCATGCAATATAGATGCGAATTGAAGTCAAAAAATCCTTGACGCCATAAATCATCGGATCGTGGGCACACTTGAATCAATAGGCAAGTGTTGTTGTTTGTGACATTTTTCTTGGGTCTCCGTCCCAGATTTTATCGTAAGTTTAATAACGGCAAATCATCGTCAGCTAAACATGTTTACAACTTCTACAAATATATTAATTTATCCCTAAATTAAGTATAATTGGACTCGTGCCTCAATCCTGCATAATATTTAATTGTTGGATATTCTATTGGTCTTGAAACTGAATAACAAATTATTTTATTTAGCGGAAAGGAGTAAGTTGTGCTTATAGATCCTTAGAGCTGGCTATCGCTGTTAGTCGCTATTGATTGAAGATTGTTTCGCAAATTTCAATTAACACTGTTTATAAGGACTCGACGACGAGGAACTGTTTCCATAATTAGGCGAATTTTCATCTGTGATTTCGCAATTTTAGTGTGCTAAACTGACGGCTTTTTTAAAAAATACACCAAATTGTTGACCCTCGAATTCCGTTCCTCGTGTTAGTATACAAGTGTTAGAACCAACCGAATTCCTAAAACCGGCTTGTCACTTTTTTAACGTAAGAAAAAACATGGATACATAATTTCGTAGTAATTTCGTTTTTCGCCATTAAAAATGCGTCTTTTGACTTGTGTGGTAGTATTAATGTCGTTATAAGAATGAAACATTTTGAGTGCTCAATAAAATCTGGATATTTCTAGATCGTCCAACGTAAAGCCATATTATGTCTTACGATCACGGGATGACTGAGCTGGCTGTCTTGCAACTGTTTCATATAGTATTCCGCAAATATCTGAAATATTCTTGGAAGAAATTTGGATATTAATCTTTTGATATTACGAAGTGATATTCTGGACATGTTTTCTGTTTTATGTTGTGCGAATATTTACGTTTTGTGTCGAAGTCATCCGCGAAAAATGCACGCTTTATGAGGAAGTGGCAGTTTCCAGGAACAAAAACTAACTGATTTTAGTTATTGGCCAACGTGCAAAATCAGACCTATTCATAACTCGTCCATCATTTAGGAAATCGTGCCGGCAAAACCAACAGCGGCAAACTGAATTGGAGGGTGGGTTTCTAAAATCTATTCCCTAAATGGGTACCAAACGTAAAAGAACGAAGAAGAGTCGTCGTGACCCTTATTTTTTGGAGAAGAGCTCTTCTTTTATCGAGGACTCCATTCAACGTTGCTGTCCACTCTGGTTCGAAATTGCCCGGGGCCAAGAACCAGACTACAATCCGAGCGACCTTAACACCCAAGTCTGGCTCCTTAGTGTGCTCAACTTGAGACAAGCACTTATTAAATGGCAATCATGGAACTGTAACATTAAGTCAAAGGAAGAAATATTGAATCGGTATAAATCGTTTGTGGAGCAGGTGAAGGTCATGGCTTACCTGTTGGACACTCGGACACCACGAGCACCTCCGAGGGTTCGTCAAAAAACTAGCGCAGTGATAGCTATCCGAAATCTCCTACGATTCGATTGTACTCGATGGCTAGACGAGCAGTTAGTGAAAATGGTGGGCTTGAATAAGCAGTGGCAGGCGAATCTCTACGAGGAAGACGATGAACTCTTTATAATGCTGCAAGGCGAGCTCGAGATTGAGTGGGGTCCACAAAACACGAAGGCCGTTATTAATCACGAACGACAGCGTCAAAGTAAGATACTGAACTGTACAGATGGACGATTTTCCACCGCGGTAACGGCCCTCTCGTTGATAGTCTACACAGCTGATGTGGGTAGCGATGTGACAACTGGAATTGAGCGATACAAAGCAGGGGACGCCGTTGGAGCTGTCCTCACGTTGATTTGGGTCGTCTGGGTGACGATCGTTATCTTCTCAGAGAATCTACATAAGTGTGCAGAGGAACGCAGCCTTGGAGCTCTGTTGATCAGTCCGGTGCTGCCGATTCTTGATATCTGGCGCGAGCTCACGCTTAGGTGGCGGGTCTGGTGTAAAAAGGGCTCCATTAGCGAGCGTCGGCGAGCGATGGTGGAGCTTGGAAATGCAGAACGGCGAGCTTCTGCTATGTCATTAACGAAAGCGAAAAATGAGGCCTTGCCACAACTGCTTATGCAGATTCAACTGACGTTAGTCGATGCCAAATCTTGGGACGAGGGGATAAAATTACTGAATCAGTTTCATGTGCTCACTAGCATTGTTTCAGCCTGTTGGTCGCATTCGCATGCCTTCCGCGGTGGCTATTGCCCCACGGGCTATTCGGTTATAACAAAGTTGGTAGTTTTTTTCCATGATTGCCTTATACTGGCTGCACTAGTTATTTCGATGTCGCTATTTTTCTGGGTGGCACCATTATCACTAGCCATGTTTTTCTGGTTATGCAGATCTCTACTATTTATGAAGCTAGATCGACTTCTCACAGTTGAAGAGTTTTTTCGCGAAATTTCAACACCGACGGGATGCGTTGCACTTATCGAGCGCGTGTTGTATTATGGAACCCATCCATTTATAATTAAACACATGAAATTTGTGGGAGCCGTAACTTTTCTTGTGGAGTTGACTGTTTTGCTAGGAACGTATACATACGTATGCTCTCTTCGTACTGACTGCGTATTCGATGTGTTTCCCGTTTCGGCAGTCATCGTTTGCTTTTTTATTGGAATGTTGATACATCAATTTAGTTTACTGGGTCAAACAGGAATCTTCTTTACTAGTGTGTAATAAATCTCCAGCTGTACAACATCACAAGAGGACAAAAGCTGCTAGCGACTGGGGGCAGTTGTAAATACCCATCTTCGCCCGACGCACATTGCGAGCGTTTACCATATATATAAAAGGTTCTAGCTAGAAGGAGTGATACTGATTTTTGGTGCTATAAAAGTTTACTTCATTCTACACATTTTGAGGCTAGTTCCTAACAGGAGGATCAGTTTCATTAACCTTCTGCGATGCTTAAACCAACTTGTTGATTGCAAATGCAGCATACTTTCATAGTTCATGTTGTCGCGAGATGTACTTGTTCTGAAAAAATACGTTTAGCGTTTTTGAGCAGAAGGCGATTTTTAATGAGTGCAGTGGCAATTCGCTGAAGCAAAAACGAGAATAAAAGTAAAACTTAAGTTGAAAATCCGAATTTTTTTTTCTACTATGAAATATTGTTAAACATAAGATCTTAAAACAATATTGAATCGAGGTAATATTTCGCTAACACCCTAACCAATAGCTGCGTTTGTTTATATCACTCTACGTTGTAGACGGCACCTGGCATAGACAGGGTTCATTTCATGACGGGATGCAACCGTTTGTCTAACGTGATGCTGAACGGCGATCCAGACGCAAACCTCGAAACACAGGCAATACTAATAATAATTCTGTGAAACCGGATTTAAAATGGTTAACATCTGTTGGGTTAAGCATGTGTTTACTTGAGTATCTCCTGTTCTGGAAGAACTCTAAGAAATCTGTCGATAGCACCCGTATTCTATCGATCACCCGATCGACAAAGAGCAGAATTTACCAAAACTTTAGGCATAATTATTCATGGCCCTCCAATCAACTGACAACTCCCCTGGCAGAATCTGTTAAGCCTGTGGTAGTTGTCGGTAAGTTTGAATTTCCCACTAACATTCTTGAAAAACCTAAGCTGTTAACAACTCAGAGGGACACACATGAACAGCAAGTGGTACCTTATGTTTTTAATGTTTTCGTGACAAATGCAATTAGCGACGAGCGTTTCACAAGGAAATCGCCTCGTTGACTGAGGTGTGACTTTTCGTATTTTTCTTTCTATTAGCCAAGGAAAAAAATCCATTTCGATTTAAATCTTCAATGATGCTAATTTACTCTGGTAATGAAACGACACTAGGGTTTACATCGAGTGCTGGACTATTAAAATGGCGAGATGAATATCTCGTTGAGCCTAGGATCGGGAAGCTTTCGTGGTAGAGCTTAACGTTCTTAGTATATAGATACCTCTGGTGCTAAGCAGTATTGGCCATTTTAAAATAATTTATGAAAAAGTATATGGAAAATGCGACGTATTCAATTTCTCGCAGTTTATCGTTCGGGTTCACTCAAAATTGCATTATGACGGGACTCAAAAATTTAGCAGCCCTTAAAGGTGGTTCTAAGGATCGTATGATTCGTCGTGCGGGAGTTTCTCTCAAATCGCTTACTATCGCCACTAAGTCTGCGTTATACCTGGTCGTGTTATCTGGTCCTTATTATCACAACTTGATACGCTGACGCACAAACGCAACGGGCCGTTCGTATACGTCTTTTGCCTCTTTTTTTACGGTAAAGTACACTGTTCGGCGTCACTTGGACACGCGAGGGTAGATCATGTAGCAAACACAATCTCGTTTCAACATCGTATTACTGAATAATACTTCGTGTAAGCTGCAACCGAGCACGATCATCAGTTTGGCTCAATCTGCTTTTGGTTCCTCTCGATTCGAGTGTTCGTTGTAATTTGCACAGTAAACTGAATTTGTTGGCAAAGGATTGAACAACTTCGAGTGCCCCCAACGCAGCATTCGCATTTTGATTAGCATTCTGGCGCACGCGAATATTGAGGTACGTCGTTCGTGAGGTTCGTTTGGACCTTTTAGGTTGATCGCAATTTTTTCGCACTAAGTAGGATAATGTGTGTCCTAACGCAGCGAATCAGATGTCTATTGTTGAAAACTCAGCATTTGCTTAAAGCCTAAAACGTTCCGATAACCTAACCAAACTAGTTTCGTGGTTCCCATTTACATGCCCGCCGATGCATAGTCACCAAACGACCTAATGTTTGAAAATAACCACTGTTTTCCATTCCACTGTGGACCATTCCTGTTATGCACTAACCGGCGGACAGTGAGCAGCTTTCCTGGACGCGAAACATTATTGCATTGGGAAAATGGACCGATACTTGAAAATGAATCTAGTGGTACCAATACGATTTACTGCCATGTGGTCAATATCCAACAATGTTGTCAAAAACAGAAATAATCTGACGACGTAAGACAACGTAAAGTAAAAAAAGTAGAAGGAGAAACGCTGCTAAGGACGCTTTAAAAGATCTGAGTTGCACAGCTACCGCATTCGTCGCAGATGGATCATTCATAATATGAAAACAGATAATATCTTTATTAAAGCCACTATTATTTCTGACTCTCCATATGTAACTGCTTCTGTATTATAGTGAAAATGATAAGATACGTAATGTAGACGGTAGATGCAGTATGGGATAGCAATCAGGCTATCATTTGACATTCGCGTCCTTTTCCGTTTGGATACGTCTCCCTATTGCGAATCGATCAAACAGTGAAACAATAGTTCAACTGTTAAGGTGGAAAGAATTATTCCTGTATATTTTAATATCGAAGCTTATCTGTAGGCCATTTAACCAGAAGACGCCAGAGGTAGCTGTTGGCAAACGTCACTTACTTTCGCATACCGGTGCTCGTATGGTGAGTCTCAGATTGTTGTTTCTCTCTCAATACTAGACATAAGCATTTCACATTCAGTTATAATGTTTTGATGTACTTAATTTTTATTAAGTTGACTTTTCTCTGAAATATTCGAACGTTAAACGCCCCTCAATTGAAAAGATACTTTTACTTCACACGTGTTTGTTTCGTGTCTGTTTAGCGTTAATACCGGGATGGATGTGACCGACTAAAGCGATAAACGAAAACCCCAAGTAGCCGAAAAGCAACAACATCTAGAAAGAAAAGTATATGGGAGACGAAATAAACACGTTAGGCCAGGGCTTCTTTAAATCCTATATTTTCGCGTATAAATCAATTCCTGCCTGAATCAACGAGCTCTCCTAAAAATAGCGAATTAGCTCCTGTGCGGTTAGTCATTTCCATCAAGACACACTCGTACTTAAGACAAGAGTATAATTCTATTGCGGCTAGAGTAATCGAATATATATAACAATCGTCATAAATATTTTGGACAAGCAATCCCAAACGCGTAAAACCGTATTTCTCAGGCAGTTACAAAATTTTCGTGTATATCCTGATACACAGCGTTTTCGTTTTGTTATCAAACACAGGCCCACAGTAAATTTTCGCCATTACTCGAAATTTTTTAAACAAACAGTTAGAAATCAATGTCGATACGGTTTCAATGACGAGAGGCGCCCCGAATTGCAAATGTACCCACTAAATTAAAGGCAGCTAATCATTTTAAAGCGAAACCAGGATTATTAGCAACGCCCCATGGGTATATCTTCATACAAGAGGATTCGCAGTCTGTTACCAGGTTTCTTTGTCTCTGCAGGCGACGTTAATCACCGACAATGCATCGGCCTGATATACAATATAAGCCTCTATAGAGAAATGAACCATTCTTCCTGTAGATTATAAGGTGTTGTGGACTATTCACCACAAGAAGATAACATTTGTAAAATAGAATGAGCCATAATCGCTTACAGGATTCTCTCTCACGAATATACTCTTGCACTGTTGTTTGCTAATGACAGAGATTACCGTAGAAGCTAGATAAAAGTTTCTCATCCGGTTTTTGGATAGTTACGTGAGCTTGCTTTGATGGGCAGAGTTAAATTTGGCTGGCTCTAGCCGCAGTGACTGCAATACTAGTGCTCTAATATATGTTGTTTGTGAATGAATAAAACGCTAAAATTTCTCTCTTGGACTAACTGGAAAGTCCATATTTAGCCAGTAATATGAAATAGATATGAGAAGTGGCTATACGTTTGTTGAGGAAGAAAAGGCAGGAATTGAAAGAAGACTAGAACGTCCATTTAGACGCTAAGCTGTGAGGTAAACTGAATGTTACAAGATAAAGAGACCTAGACGGCAGTCTCCATGCTTGTCACGAGAAAATCTTAATGGCAAAACGCAGAAAACACTGAAAAGGTATCAGAGCCTTCCCTAATGAAGGAGCTCAAGTAGTGATCAAATAAATACCTAGGACTACAAGAAAAAGATGTCAATTTAATGGTTTCTTATACAGTTGGAAAACGCTGAGTGAAAACCCATGCTTCTGTAGCAAACACCTGAAAGTGAGGCCCGTCAATGAAAGCCCCAGTTAAACTCTTAAATCATTTAAATGTAATCAGTGCTTTCTGAACTATTTTTATACACCCAGTCAGTACGAAATGTAGAAAATAGATATGAAAAGAACGTTTCCTTTTCTGTTCGGTCTGCGGTGCCGGCTGAAAGTCCAAACATTATTTAGTAAACGTTACCTACGCCACTGTGAATAAATGCGACACATGAACTTTATTATCAGATAACACTCCTTATTTTCAGATTGAAATTATGGAGAAGCAATGGATATATCGTTCAGCTTTGGCCGTTCTATTGGCATTGACTGGCAATATTGTGCTTACGTGCGCAGAAGATGGGCCTCTGTGCCTCGCCTACGGTGATGGCAAAAGGTATGTGTTCAACTTATTAATGACATCATTTTTGAAATAAATGCTATAATACATTTACCGCGACATTACCCCATATAAATGCGGTTGTCACATATCCTTGAATTAGACAGGCTTTGTCAATCGACCTTGCAAACAGTGAAGACTTTCAGCGTTTAGGTAACCAATTGAGATATTTTGATTAATGATTAAGTGAATGCCCTTAATCACTGCTCCAGACTTTCGGTATACCCCATATAAACCAATATATAATCTTTTCGACTGTGATGGACTCAGTTCAATAGCGTTACTCAAAACCGGAATTTTTTAAAGTGGGTGGCCAATACCTAGATGATTAAACCAAACGAAATGAGCTGGTCTCATGCTGAGGGCATTATCCCTTGCATGCAAAATATTAAACAAGATAAAGAAATAGGAATTAAATAGTCAGAATCGTATCAAGGGATTGACTGATATTGCGAAACCGGCAATCGTTTCCGTATGATAACGGACGGCCAATTTGGCACCCGTTGGCACAACAAGTTTCGCGTATTTTCAATTCAGATGCACTTTTGTTTTAAAAATAACTCGCTTTAAAATCTAGCTAAGTTCCCCACTTAGACGTTTATATCTCACCAGACGAGAAGCAGTTTGTGAGCATATCAGCACGCTTTTCTCTGGGCGTCCATGCTATTGTGAGTTATGTCGTTGATTGAGTTTCGATCGACCTTCGAACAAACTGACCAGCGTCTGTTACTTATGGATACGCAGTTTCTGCAGCTCATCTGACGTGGACAATGGCAAGTCGCTTTCGAATCTACTCAACTCCGTTCTTCAATTGCCGGTTGACCGAAAAGGTCGAATGGAGTTGGCAATCAATGAGCCCTTCACGTTAGTATACATCCCTTTCACTTTGTCAGTATGTATACATCGTTTTGCGTGTAAGTAGGAAGATTGTTCTTTATAGTAAGCAGGGTTACAGAACAATTTCAATTTTGTTACTCCCCAAGGGGACTGTTGCCTAGATATGGCGATTTATAAGAACATGTTGTACCTCACTGATAATGCGCAAAATGATAATTTCTTGTATCCTATTTTTATCCCTGGCACACTCATACCACATGGTATATCTTGAATTAAATTGATTTTAGTCCATTGGAGTGACTATGAGGGATATGAGGCACATATAAGCGATCTATTGCATGAATTATTTCGCGTGCTTCTCGTCAAAATCACTCCTTTACAGAGACCCGATACCCGAAGCGATAGGGCCTTTGAAAGCAAACCAAAAACTGGACGAAAACAGCCAAGTGGTAATGAGTTTCCTAAACGGACCGGAATCCCTCGCTGTTCAAGCAGATTTTCTCTACGCAGCCACAGCTGATGGAGTGTATCAGGTAGTTTTTTTTATTTTCGATTTATGATTACGCCTATCAAATGTTCCTAAAATTCTCATCGACTAAAGATATAAGTTTAGTACAATCGTACATAAGGCAAGGCAACTCGTAAAATGCCTCCTTGAACAGCTATACATAGTGCTTTTGTAGAAGGCGCCATGTTTGCCGTTCCGTCACGAACAGTAGAAGACACACTACTGTGCCTACTTAGCGAGACGGCCTGAGATCCTTTCTCTGAAACGGACTTAAACAATACTCTACACTGCAGCAGACGCAGCGGCACCCTCACGATTAGGGAAGCTTTCAGTGGCATTTAATTTAGCCCAAATAAGCCCAAAAAGATGTATCTGCTGCAGCTTGCACGCTTTTTTCTCAAGGAGAATGCAAGCTGCTTCGGTGAAACGAAAGAGCAACCCTAGTTCATTCCATAATAACAAAGAAATATTTTTTAAATCTATTCAAGTACCTGTACTCTGAACAATCTGAGCAAGATGAAATTCACGCAGCCAAAATGATATTGGATTTGAAAATTACCTTCAAATTTTTACAAATAGATCGAACATGGAAAGCTATTGGAATACATCTTCCATCTGCGATAGTATACCAAATTATATTGACCAAATATATTGACACTAGCTAAGTTATCCTGGACTCCAAGGTGCTCTATTTTTGTTGCAGCATTTAATTCGGAAACTTACGCACTTCGGTACAATTCTATGCGGTGTTGAATATGGAATACTTTTAGTAACCTGTCTTTTTCAGTGAGCTACTTTAGGGTAGGTACCAGACCACGATACTTCAAAAACGGTCGGTACTACAGCACCTAGAGGAAGTCTAAAATTTTCAGGCGCCGCTTGGTGTTGAGGTAAATGTCAAAAAATGTGAGCTCTCTGTAATAGGAGTTAACTTTAAAGAAAAAAATTGTTCGTTAAAGTAGAGCAATATGGTATGTACAGCTCGAGCCCCAAGATGCGCACCTTGTGCCCTTTTTCTTTTTCGTAGCAGCCTTTCTGCGGTTGGATTCGCCTATGCCCTATTATGCTCTGACTGGCCTAGATGTCCAAATCTTCTGAATAATTTTGATTAGTACCTACAAGGTTGTTTGAGGGACAAATATTAAACTCCCAGTTCGCATGAAACTAAAAACTGCTCGTAATCACTGTTAGTGATTTTGGTGCTGGACGTCCAACTTTGCAGAAACCTTGCAAAGCTTAAGGAACTCTTAGAGTTTATTTCCACAAATATTCCTAGAAGCTATTTAGAACAATATAGAATTTATAAGTTAGCAAAGTTCAAAAACAGTAAACTTTGTCTCGAACATGAACATTCTGGAAAGCACAGTTGTCAAAAAGTCTCAAGAGGTACTACAACCAAAGCTTTCGAGCAAAAAAAAAGCAGGACTTAGCGCTACCTTCTAATCTTCACATAGACAGTAACTCTTATTCCATTTTCATCAAGATAAACTTGATAAAAGCACCAGTCTTTTAATCTACCTGAAAGGAATAACAATAATGGTAATGAGGGTACTGCGAAAAGTCATGACAGAGTGACCAATTATCTTAATCATTAATATTTATCGACATAATAGCACATGCTAGGCATTTATAAGGTCATTGAAAATGTTTGAAATTTTTCGCCGAACACGATATAACATTTATCTATTTGTACCATTACTGTCGAGGTGATCCTAGATTAATATGAAGACCCAGGAACAAAAGAAGCTGTACGACGCAAGGGCGGGCTGTAACTCTTCTTACACTACATCTTGCAGTCGACCTTTAGGCATTCGCGTCAAAGATTTAACGATACTCTGCGCAGATCCTTTAAAAGGACTGTTACAAATTGACATCGATTCAGGTCATTAAAATAATTTTCTTACAAAAGGCTACAATTTAAAAATTATTGATATAACGCCCGTTTTTTTTTATCGATAGTTATTATTCCAACCATATAAATATGTCGAACTAGAAAAAAGGAAATCGTTCATAAGACTATATTTATGCGGAATACGTCGTAAATTTAAAGAAAAAATCCAAGTGCTACTTTGATATAAAATTGGAAGACTAACATAAAAAATCATTCTATGCTTAAGAACGTATGTTTTTTTTTATTTTTTTTTTTATCAATGGTTGCACATTTAAAAAACCTATAGGAAATGTAAAAGTTCTTATTCCGGCGCTTGCTGAGGTCGAAGGCAAAAAGATGCTCATGGCCGATGATTTGGACGTTGACTGGGAGCGGGGACTCATCTACTTGAGCGATGTAAGCACAAAATATGGGTTTCATCGATGGGCATGGTCTATTGTAGACAACGATGCTTCTGGAAGGTAAGTTTTAAGTCGATTTTTGTTGGTTGCCACCTATTTCCCTAACAACTGTTGCTTGACCGATTTTATTTTATCTGTCATCTGATTCCCTCTTATCAAAGAAGCAGGTTACCTTATAAATTACTAATGCACAACTAATTGAAGTATAATATATAATACCAGATGTATAAATGCTGGGATTTTAATGTGACATTAGTAAACAATTTTTCTTTAGTTCTCTTTATCAAACGCTTCTGACTTACGATGTCTTATATTCCTTTACAGGGTGATCCAGTATAACCTAGCGACCGGCGAGGCTTCAGTTTTTGCGAAAGATATTCGTTTCCCTAACGGGATCCAAATTACTCACGATGGAAAATCTTTGCTCGTATCTGAATTTACCGCTAGGCGAATCCTACAGTATCCTCTTGGTCAACCACTTCCAGGTGTGCATTTGCTTGAAAAGCAATTTTTGAGTATTTACGAGATTTATTTAATAGACTGGGAATATGTGCGATTACATTCTAAGTTCAGATTCTAAACCATTTACTAAACTTTTCGGAATACTTTTTCCTTAATTCGCAGATACGTTTTTAATAGTAAAAAAGTAACAACTGTTTTGTTGCAAGTAATATCGGTAGATGTTGGTTTATCAAAGTGTCCCTTTAACACGCTACTTACAAAAAAAATTCAATGGAATTAAATTTTGAGCTGAAGACTAAAAGTGCCGATAATGCAAGGTCTCAAAAGGACCAACAAATACAAAACGTGCAAAAAGGCCTAAAGTTGGAGCTTAGCCGGACGAACCAATTGGCAATTGATATTTTTCTTCCCAAAGCTGCCATCAATTTTTGTATAAAAAATCCAGATGTTTCGAAAATAATTTATTGAGCTATTTTAGTGAATTCTCGAATCTATATTTTTTTAAGATCTTTATTTGCCTCATAAAAAAATTCTGCAGATTTTCAAGAGCCTCATGAAAATCAACAATATGGGAAAGTGTTGACTTTTGACAAAAAAGAAGTTTCCTTTCTCGTTGACGCTTTGTCCAGCACAAAGATATCGGATAACTGCTGATCTTTATTTAAATGTCACTGTTTTCGTTTTCTTTTAAAAGGAATTGGTTTTCATTTGGTACCGAAAATAGCATATGAACGCATGCCCGCTACGACAACACCCGCCAAAATCTGTCCGAATTTAAATGCCTCACCCTGTATACGCGCATATATGTATAAAAATATTAATAAAGTGCTTTTACTGACAGCATTGAATCGTATTCTGTCTGAATCCTTCAGTAAAAGGGACTCCGTTCACCAAACATCCTCTGCCAGGCTCTCCTGACAACATCCGACCCTCGCTTTCTGGTGGTTACTGGGTGGCTCTTCCTCTAGGGCGAATCAACGGAAGCCGAACGTTTGTCGATGAACTACAGGTACGTTCTACTACAATACACATGTATAACTTTTACATTTATAGTAACAAATGGAGTACAAGGCGCATGCTAGATTATAGATATATAGCACCATGTAACTCACCACTACCATATTACTTAACATATTTCGTAATAATTCTAAGAACTTATGCTAAGAAACGTATGCAAAACAAAAGATGAAAAAGGCTTTCAATAATGTCACGAACATGGACGGCACCTACGTACTTCATATTATGAAACGATTATGCGAATTTTAGGCTCGACCGACTGTGGCGAAAAGATTGGGTGATTGGATATTATCCATTGGAGAAGCGGCTCAGCTAATTGGACAACTTGGAGAAAGCAAAGACCTGTCTGATATTGGCGTTCAGGTAACTCAAAGAATGATGCAACAGCAAAGTCACCAAAGTCGATCCTATTTAAGTGCACATAACGCAGAATTTAGAGTTCATTAAAAATTGTGGTAATTTCTGCAAATTGAGAAGTATACTCAGAGTTCCTTCTAATAGCTGCGTCACGATAACTTTCGGAGATAAAATCAAACCTACTCGCAAGATGTACAACAGGGTCTGACTTTCTTACTAATTTCATTACAGTTGCAATCTGGGGCCATTCTTCAAAACACATACCCGCGCGTAAGCACTATAGTCGAACTTGATGCTGAGGGCAATGTCTTGCAAGCACTGCAGACCTACGAGCATAGGCTTATCACACAAGCAACGGAGCTGGATGACGGGCTCTATCTTGGAAGCCTCCTGAACAAGTACATCGTGTTTGTACCGCGTTCAAGCTATGGCCGTTCATAAGCAGTCAGATTCTGCTTCATACATATATTTCATACATGTATGAAAACACAGAAATATGAATACGTTTTTGAAAGTCATTGGAATAGTAGCCATATGTCTTCGTCTAGAGATACACGCATGGTCACTATTCAGTTTTTATACACAAACATAATAAATAATAAATGACGATTCAGTATGCAACGATAAAATTAAACTGAAACACGTTTTAATATATAGAAGTTTTTTATTTTATTAAAGGAAAAACTCAATTCACAGTAAATATACGAAAAATGTTTATTTTAGCGACCATGCTAAGAAAAGGGAGTGATGTGCGACGATGAACACGTTGAAGTACAGAGACACCTTGAATATATACATACGTTTGCCGAGATGACTTAGTAGCAACGCTATGGACAGAAAGTACAAAGTCTTTTATTTCTGGGAATCATGCAAATTGATGCGAACTTGTTTCGTACTTGCAGATTTGTCAACAGAGCTTTCTTTACTTATAATAATTAATTCATTAATAGTGAAAATTGAAAACCTTCTTTTTTGAGAAGGAATCCAGGTAAATTTATTCGGTGTACCCGTGCTGGTGCTAACAATTAGAAATTCCTATCTACTCATACGAACAAATCCTTCATTCGTCTATAACAGAGGACACTTCCAATTTGAATTTTTCCTATTGTGATATCATTTGGAGCCGTTAACGTCGACATCTCATTCATGCTAAAATTAATGAAACTAAATTTAAATAAAGGAGCCTTAACGCTAGATAAGTCAAAAACAGTAAAAAGTGATGAATAACAAACACTATAAGTAAGAAGATTTTCTCTGTGCGATAACTCTTGTTTCCATGTGGAAAAAAGAATTTTTTCCTTTTATAATGGTCAAGAATTTTGAAAGTGCGATTTTGCCAATACACCGAAAGACACTATTTTACTAACTAGCCGGATTATCCAATTGCCATTAAATGGTGTCTTTCACTTCAGTCCGTGGAGGAGAGGTAAAGTAATCAAAACATATGTATATCTAATAACTAAGAGAATAAAATAAATAAGGGTTTAAGTAATGATTGATTTATTTTGATGGCATATGGTAGTCGTTTTTATTATACTATAGATTAGGAATTCACAAACGCGAACTGTTTGACGTATTAAATAAACATACGAACAACAACTAAGCAAATATTGTATGAGCCTAGAGCTAGATACAAGTACCCAGAAGGCACCAGTTAGATCCTTTAGAGAAAAAATACATCAATGATGCCATGTTTTGAAGTCCTGCGCTAACGTTATTAATGTTTTTATAACGCATGCAAAATTCTATATTTTGACTGGTTCAAAACGCAATCGAATTACAGAACTATCGCAGATAAAAAAAATTCACAAGACAATTTTCATTCGATTTTGATGCGTTATTTAATAAGAAGTAACGCTTCCATCAACTTACAAATATTGGTGAAGATAGTATGATAATAATAATAATATATCATTACCGCGCTATAGTTCTTTTAGTTCACCGTATCACTGATGATCATACGTTCGAAATTTTGATAGATTTCAAATGAAGGTTTAAAAAAGGTCTTTTCGGTACCGGAGATAGTAAGATGAACGTACTTTTGGCTCAGACAGCTGAGGTATAAGATGGGCTCCTCGTTTAGTGTATCCTTCATTGAAGACATAGTATTTTCGCCACGCTCTAGCTGCGGTAGTAACAAGGCAACGGAATGCAAACAAGTCACAATTGTAAACTTACTTTAATTTGATTGTTGCTTTTCTGACCAGTTTTTTCTGATCTAATTGTATGTCCGATTCATCAGAGTCGTTATTTGTAATACCACATTTCATTATTTTCATGTGGGGTGTTATTAATTATCAACTTTCCCTTTGAGCTTCACAAATCTCCCATCAACTAAAAGGCCATCCATTGAATTATAATACGGCTGAACAAATAATGTTGGATTGCTCCTTGCAGCTTTTTTTTTGTTGCACTACTTAGAAAATTTCTAGGTAAAGTAAGTACCCAATCTCTCGATACACATAGAAGAGTAGCGATAGATCAGAAAACAACAGGCAGTCCAAGCGGTTAGAAAATACAAAAAGCCAGACTGCTTTTCCTGTGAAGTCGGCTATTACTTGGTACAACGATCAACCGAAACTAAACACGAATGTAGAAAAAGCAACTCACTTAAACAGCGTCGTACGCGTAAGCAATGTCACGACGTCTACCAACAAGCGAATTTAACATTTACTTAATAACAAGGAAGCTACAAGGAAAACAGATTGAACATTGCTGCATTGGAGTTGAATTGATTGCCAAAGACCTTAAAGGAATAGTCTACTGATAAGTGTAGGTTCACATTGGTAAGGGAAATTTTAGCGTTATAGCACAACGATTTTCAAGTGAGGCACATTCGGCTAAACTTAGCTAAGGGCAATTTCTTACACCTTGCTAGTTATTTATTCTACAAAATCTTTTCTAGAAACTGCTGATCGGTACAACTGTGCTCTATCTAAACCGGTTATATTTGATAGATTACCCTTGCTGTCTTCTTATGGGTCCTGTTAGTATACATGTTTGTGCGTCTGCACAATTGCGATTGATATTCATATATTATGCAGTGATGTGATACGGCTTTATTGTGCGTGACGTTTCCGTGCACCGAAACTCCATCGTAATGGCTCCTGGAATGGAAGCTTTGCTTAACACTGACAAGCCCGTCACTTTCGACTTGTGCACGTTGCCGTGTGGACGATTTCACAAAAAGAACGTGCGTTCAGCTAATCTTATTCGGTTGTCCCGGCCGATCTCTGCATGCATACGGCTTTTCCGCGGGCCGGTGGTCCAGCGGTGACCAGTTGTCCTCCAACAGCTCCCTGCAGGCAACTACATGCCTTTACGCAAACAGTGTGTTAACAAACCCCAAAATGGGCGAACCTTTCGTGGATAATGCAGTAAGGAAGCAGCGTTACAGCTTATTATTAAAAGAGCTACCTGGATCGTACACATAATTGTAGTTCAATAAAAATATAAAACACTCTCATACACATCACAGATAACAAAAAAATCGTATTGGGTTAACGTGGGACCTTCACCCTCAAAATCCTTTCCTATTGTATTAATTGGCTTGTTTAGCAGCTGCATTGCACGTTCCCTTATTATAGAGAATCGACTGCTTTTTTACCCTAAAATTTATTTTTTATTATGCATATTTCCCAGCCGACTGCTCAAATGATTAAAAACAGACTCAGAACATTATGGTCCAAAATAGTGTCTTCAGTATCGAAATATCCTTGGAAGATAGTACGTAGCACAAGTAGGAAAAATATTTGAAGTGCCATATTTCGTATAAAATGGAATATATAAGTTCCGTTCTTAACGAAGTGTACTCTCAAGATTGTGGCAGAATGGTAGATAGTCTGTTTAATCGTCCGCGATTGAACGCCATTGCATTCAAGTCTTGTCGTCAATTGTTATCGTCAATTTCCGGGTGCCTATCGACCCCCGCAAGCACCTTGTATTGATCACTGATGCGGCATCAGCAATAGGATAGCCATGGATGGCTCAAGGTTTTTCTGATTCTTACAAATGTCTTTATAAAATATGACTCAGCTGGTGATTACATACAACGTTTGGGCCAAATATGTTGTACAACTTCTTTTGTAAACGTTAATTATACGAGTCCAACCACTGTTTGAATTCTCAGTTAGAAAAAGCATTTTAAAATATATAAGCAAACTTAAAATAATAAATTTGATCACTTATAACTAATCACTTTGGCATAATTATTCCGCTGTACTATGTTCTTAGACGCAAGCTTAAATTAAGTAATTGGGAAAATATATGTTTTACAGTGTAATTTCCTATAAAATCTGTTTCCTTTTGCGACGGAATTCGGTAAAGGTTTTGATTTAGTCTGAGTACGCTACGATAGATTTGGTAAACAAGAATGCGAGTCTTGAAGAAAGTAGATCTTATCAAATGTTTTTATTCAATGGATCTTGAATAAATTACAATCATATAGGCATATACTGTAAGCATATTGGCTTTATGTTCATAGAATATTTTTCTAATTTCTAATAGTGCGGCAAATGAATTCAGAAGCCTTTTTGCGCAAGAAAAACAAGAGGCCCCGGCGAGATTCGAACTCACGATCTCCTGTTTACTAGACAGGCGCTTTAACCAACTAAGCCACGGCGCCGCACGGTAAAGCGACCATTATTGTTTTATATGCACCGTGGGCCATAATATTGTGATCAACAGTTACTGAGAGCAATAATATTGTGTTCATCTCAAAGCTTTCAGCTTTCCACTACCGCGCGAGTGATATATATGAATACCCTTTATGACAATCCCTTGTTTAAAAACAATTTATTAGCTAGCTTCATCGTGACTATCCGTGCCTTTACCGCAACAACTTTTCACTCGTCAACCAGTAAAGCTTCTAGCTACGACAATGTTTAGAATGGCTTGGACTAGTAATTACGTTATCTGAAATCTTTCTTTATCACTCTGGGCCAATAACGTCTTAAAAATATTTTCTAAAGGGTTTGGGGCGCAAAGCTAAAAGCTTTACGATATGAAATAGGGTAGAGTAGATATGGATTGTAGGTTTTTAGCGTTTGGTCCTTATTGTTGGATGGCTATGAGCTATACTGAATAATGTCTAGATTATTTCGACTGTATAAAAGGATGACACCGTTCTTCACGAACCATTTTCCTACAAAAAACAACCACATAGATTCATGAATCCATAAAAGTAAAACCACTGCAAATAGTATGAGATGCGTGACATACCCTACGGTGTTCGTACAACAAAACTACAAGCAGTCAAAAAGGAAGGAAAACAAAAGCAATTAAATAAATAAATATTTCGTATAAACACTTTATTCAAATGAAACATTGTCATCGTGGACTCGAAAAAGTCTATATATAATTCCTGTAAATGCACTTAGAGTAACTCAATAAATAAATGTGTAACCACCCAGTTGTATCCATTGTTGTTAATAAAAAGCGTTACCTATTACGCCGACATGTTCAATTTTATTGTCTCGATCCAACAGACAATCCAGGCAAACGATAACAATGTCTATTTTTATACAGTAGATGCAGCTTCAGTAACCACTTGTAAAGCTTTAATATTAACTCTGAACCATGTTTATATGAGATACCAAGGTTGCTTGAAAATCAAGCATTTCACTAATGCACTTATGTTTTAGAACATCTTCCATACTGTATCGATTCACGCCTCCAACTATGGGCTGTTTAATATCCTGTAATGTTGTCACTAACGACTCACTCCTTGTAGAGGCTACCCGGAATAAGTTGGCATTCCACAGGCATGTGCCCACGTCAGTTCGGCCAAACAGCTTCGAACTACTCTTCAAATCGTCGTTAATTCCGAAACATAAGGTCACATAGCCCGAGTCAGAGCTTTTCAAACCTTCGCGGCTCTTGACAGCAACCGTGAACATGACTACACTGTCTGGAATTTGTAATTCTTCAGCTTGACCTTGACATCCGTACAAAACGCAGTCCCGACCCAGGACGAGCTTCGCTACCTTGCTAAAATCACAAAACTCTAGAATATATCGGCCTGCCGATTGTGGGCCAGTGGCAGGGAGACTAGAATGAATCCTCACCGAAGACCCGGCATCAAGGCCAAGCTGCTTCTTAAATAAGAGATCACTACATAAATGGTCAAGGTACTCTGCCAGAGTGCCTATGTGATAAAATATAGATTGTGGTAAAACAATAATTGATAACTCGAATTTCTGCAGCATCTGCTGGAGCTGTTTAGTCGCTTTGGGTGCTTTCTTTCCGAGGCAAGTAAGAAAATCTCTGTAAGCACAGATCTCTTCGTTGAGTGGTAGATGTTGCTGATAATAGGAGATCAGTGCTTTGACGACATCGGCACCGAAGGCGAATGCGCTGTCCGTGTAGGCGAAACTCTCCGCTAAAACAGCTTGTTGACGATTCATCTCATCCATCGAAGGTTTCTGAAGTACTCGAAGACAGGGCGTGTTGATGCAGATAGGGTAGACTAACTCTGGAAGAACGTATACTCCATGTCCTCTAGCAACCTCAAGTGGTGAGGGATGTGCCAATGCCGTAAATCCACTCGCATTAACCTTAAAGTTTCCATCTAGAAATAGTTCCGTACACACATTCACTAGGTTAAATATTATCATTATTTTACTTAATAATAATATTAATACATGTTTAGTTCAGACACACTGCATGGTTGAATTCTTAAATAAACCACTTATGATGTGTTATCGATTAGAGCTGACGCACCGATTGCATATATTTCAATGTCGTCGGAGGCTGTGAGAAACACGCCTGAAGTCATTTTACGGCAAAATGGAAGGTACATTGCCAGCTTTAGGTCCAGCATTGTTCCCACAGAGCAATTAAACGAGGATAAATCACCTTTCGGATTACTGGCATTCGAATTGCCAGTTTCTTTAAAATGCTGAAACAGTAACACAGAAAATATTATTAAATCACAGATAAAAACATTATAAACTATACAGGTTCTGCTATCACTAAAAATCATTTTACCGCACCGTTTAGTGAAATTCATTATTTTCTTATGAAATTATTGCTCGGTAGAGTCTGGTTTCGATTTATTTCTCCCAATAGGTAGGGAAATAACATTTAGGAATAACAACAATAGAACTCTAACTTTCAAACAACGGCATAGTGCCATCTTATATTTCTTTACTATGACTCTGTACCACTTGTATACATACAAATTTTGCAAAAGGTATAACAACGCGTTAAAAGAAATACGTCGATACTTTCTGATTACATCCAGCTAAGTACCAACCTTTTTTTCTAAAGGTAAAGGTAATCTAGCGAACAATTTGCCCAATGCTGAATGTTGAGGAAGTCGTCGACTTTGTCCACCGGTATGAATAAGCAGTACCTTCCGACTCATTAAATTTTCCTGGCCCCAAATAGAGCTGAGTTCATTTAAAACGTGCATAGTTGCACCGCCAGATCCTGTTTTAGACAGTTAAACGAAGCTATAACGTGTTTCCAATTACATGCTACTGGGACTTTCCTGGCGGTTTCAGATATACTTCATAGGTTGCTTGTTATGTATTTCACAGACTTATTTAATGTACTTGATGAATGATTTAATCTGTTTTATTCATTTGATATTAATTAGATTGTTTTAGATATGCCCACACATCATTCCTAGCTAAGAAAAACTAAACAGCCCATAGCGGTGTTAAGAATATGGACAAGTAGGCACTCTAAAAGTACCGTAAATATTTACCCATTTTATATTGTGGTACGTCCTCAATTGCCAAATAGTCGACCAAGGGTATAGTTGCGCTCTGCTTAAAACGGGCAATGTGCTCATGAAAAGCCTCACGCTGGGCTTTATCACAAACGGAGAACACTACCGCATCCCAGAATGACGCAGCACACTCTTTTGCCGATAGACCTAAATTAAAATTCAAACAAAAAAATGTAACATGCGTTGCGCTGTACATTGATGCATGATGCCAAAAAGCTTATGCAAGAAATACTGCCCAACTATGGTACTGCAGTGTGTGGCGCCGCATGGTACCTGAGGCATATCGCCGTACATTTTATACAGATGGATGTCGTTCCTGAAAAATGAAAGCCCACTGTTTGACACATCTGACATAACGGAACTATGAACTGCAAAACATCTAGCTATATGTCCGTTCTGGTTAAATTCTAGTTTTTTTAGACTTTATTAGTCTTATGTCCGGTAATATAACAGTCAGAATTGACCTCCGCTATCTTCCTTCTTTCTTCCATCTTTTAATGAATTATTAATAAGCACAGATGATCGAAAGCTTGCATCTGAGTCTCAGACCTAGAAGTGCGACGCTTTTTTGTTTTTGTATTGTTGTGTTTGTTCAATGATGAACGATGTAAGCCCGTGGCGCACCTCAATAACGCAAGTTTGACTCCGTCAAGCCTTTTGGCCTGTTTTGGTGAGAGATGCTCCCAGACAGTTGGATTCCGCAGGAAGCGCTCGCGATAACCTTCATCAAATGCGGCCTGCTTAATGCGCAAAAAAAGCCTCAAGGGCACACATATTCTACGCTCGCAACCACCGCTCACCGCATTCTGTCCCTGATATACCCTAAAGGTTCGACCATTCCCGGGCAAAATCACTTTTAATTACTTGAAGCTATTCACATACTTCAAGGTCATTCTGCCTATGTGGACTGTATCGGAAACAGCACAGTTACTTTTATGGCGGAGCTTCATGACCTGTGCTTTATCAATGTTGTTCAACAGTCTAGTCTCATTCACGTTATAGGATAGCCTGGCAAGAGCTTGCTGGACATAAAACCGGCTCATTTTAAATAGGTCAAGAGTCGGCGTTAGTACCGTTTTTACCTATTGCACCGAATTTTAAACATAGAGTAACGTGTCGTTGCAGCAGAGGTAGTAGTAGAAAGGCTCAGGCTATTGCTCTGTGCAACGGCAATTGACTGAACAAACGGTTCCAACTGGACCAAAACGGCTTTTATACTCGCCGAGCCCCACCAATATCGTCTTCATTAAATACAGCACACTCTATCAGACTCTGCAAGCTTTAAGCTTTTGTTTTATCAAACGCCGATTTAAAATCCAATAAAACAGCAAAGAGTGCCTATTTTGGCCTCGTGTGACACGATGTACCTCTTATAGTAATATATTATCTGTTGGAGAGTGGAACATCCTGTGAAAGGTCCATGCTGTTCAGCCGGAATATACGAAACTAGCGCAACTGTCTTAGACAGTGTATACAACTCGGAACTTTATGAATGCGCAACTGCTTCGTTGGAGTGTTCGAAGCAAATACGTTATGGCTTACCTCTTAAGCGATCATACTCGTTGAAGAGTAGCCTAATCTCCTTGGAGCAATCAATCAAGTCCATTGTTGAAGATTGGCTGTGGCCACCATAAGACGTTTAACGTCCTGTAAAATATCGATCTAAACAAGAGCAGACATTCAATTTCGTTCTTAAACATACAAAGACAACGTACTTATACTCATCAGATTTTTATCGTTATTTATTTGTGGAATTGTTTCTCCTTTAAAAAGAAAGTCACATTTTTATCGCGCCCTCTTCTATACTGTTAATAAGATGTCTCTGCGTTTAGATCATCAATACCAATGAGTATCTAATATTTGTACCCAATTTTAGAGCTTGCTGAACATTGTCGGTCTCTAGGAGCTACCATCTACTGGTATTCTTTTCACACTAAGAATGCCTCCGTTAAACACCGTATAATGTAAGTTACCTCTACAAACGACTGTTTGGTCAAAATCACTGTTTACTGCGTACATTTAGGGCGTCGCTATATTCAAACAACGCACTAATTTCGATGTATGGTTAAATATCACTTGATATAAGAGAAAGTTAGCATTGTGATCAATTCCAGTGTCACGTCGTTGCTCCCTCTAAACAAAAAAGCTCACTACCTGAACATGAACTCCATCTGAACGATTCGAATGGAACTGCTAAAACTAGCTGACAAGGACAGTGACAGCTCCCGCGGCAAACTGGTGTAGTTTTCCGTTTGTTTATAAACAACCCAAGCGCACGTGAAGGCCTTGGATTAGTAGTAAGGTGTGTAAGAACTGCGTTAGTGGTTTGCGATTAGTTGTTTAGAATTGAAATTTTTAGGTTGCGGTTTAGAAAATAATACCAGCGGAATTGCGTTTTTAGAATTGTTTCTTGGTGCATATGGTTAATTATTATGTGTATCGAATAGCAGTGATAACATGACAGCTTAATCTCGGTGAGAACAGACTCTGGAGAGTTGAAACATGTCTTCCTTCGCAAAATCAAACAAAGCTGCTCAGCGAATTCACAAAGAACGACATCAACTGGAAGACAGACAACACCTTGGGGCGCTTGAAAAGAAAAAGGTAGTTAAATTTACCTCTACGGCTATTAACTAATATTTGATAAACTGTACGCGTATTTTGTTTTTAGTATCTATTCTCTTACCAAGCTGTTTCTAGTAGATTATAATAAATATGAGGTAAATATAAAATAGGTAGTAGGATTGGGGAGCCACTCACAGACCAAACTCTGATCTTAATATTCCAAAGTAAACAAACAAGCTTCTCTGCGCAACTGATCAAAGTATGCACGCGGAAAAGAAAGTATAATTTCCTGTGGAGTTATGCGTCACACTAAGGAGAAGACCGAAATTAACGAAGTTGAAAGACAGTCTTTAATAACCGTGGGTGAAGCAGATAATGAAGAATAACTATTAACGTATTATTTTAAACAATTTTCCCTGTGTTTAATATTTCTGACTTTCAGGACTATCGGATTCGTGCCAAAGATGCTAACACAAAGCGAGCTCAAATTAAAAGACTTCGACAGAGGATTCTCGAAAAGAACGCGGATGAGTTCTATTTTCACATGAAGAACTCTGCCCTTGTCAATGGAGTTCACTACGATAAGGTAGTCTCGAACATTTGAAGTTAATTGCGTCCAATAAATCGTTTTTCTTTAAACGATTACAAAAGACAGTCATGCATCGTCTTGTGCACCGTTATGTGGAAAAGCTTTGCGTTCTTCAGTGGAAACATAATCACTGTCAAATCTTGTCATTAAAGTGTTATTCATTATCGGCGTTAGCGTATAATCGGACCCGGGTGTTAGAACCTGGTAACAATACGTACTAGTGAAAGCTAATTTGTCTATTGTTTTTTGGATATTGGATATTTTTTGAAAGCCGGCTGTCGTTGATTTAATTTAGGTAAAAGGACAGGAATTCACAGATGAACAGCTGAAGTTGATGCAAACGCAAGACCATCGTTATATCCAGATGAAGCGGGTTATTGAGACGCAGAAAATTGAAAAGCTAAAGTCGGAACTTCACTGCATCGGCCTTATTCAAGAGGTATTGTAGTCCTAAACTAAAGAGAAGCCAATACCAGCATTACATTCCTATTTTATCCTAGCATTATCCTAACATAATTTTTGGGTGGTGTAGTTTAAAAAAAGAATCACATATATTTCACTGTGAGGCTTTATGTGGTATAAGCCCGCACTTGAGGCAGACATATACTCTTAATAATTAAATTTAGTTTACTAAAAGTGTGGTAATAATATTGGTCAATGGACTCGGTTTTTCCAATAAAAAACAGGACAACATAAAACCAAGAATCAAAAATAAATAGTAAACTGCGAGGAAAATGCATCAAAAATTCTGTGTCGTTGGTTTTTATTGCTAATGATAAAATATACTGGAAAAAAATGCATATTCACTAGATCACGAATTCTGTGTTCGTAGGGCATGAGTTAGTGCTAGCTGGAAGAGGGTACCATGTCCATTCGACAAATGTGTTACGTACTATCCGTTAAAATAAAACGATACTTGTATCAAAGTAGCGTTTAATGTGTCGGTATTCACACACGACTAATTTATGTTCTTCTGTGAAGGCGAGCAGGCTGAACAAAGCGATGATGCCCGGTTGCTGCACCCAATCTGAGGGTTCACCATTTTTGTATGGCTTAAAGCCTATATAGGTTTCCTTATTTAATGTGTACGTTCGTAATTTTATAATATACATCGTTAACCGTACAGTAATGGAATGAGTGCTTTCTGAAACAGTGATGTTGAAATTACATATTTAGGTGACGAATAACCATACCTTCTTCGACGACGATGGTCAGCCTATAGAAAAAGTCAAGAATCTTGATAAAAAGTTAGGCACAGCGAAGGAACTCCTTGATCGAAAGTATAATCGCTTAAAAATAGAAGATCTTCTGCCAGAAATGGCAGTTGACGAAGAAACATTAAAAGAAGCTGCCAAAGAAACGAAAAGAAAATACCATGAGCTTGAAAGTCGGTAAGTGCAATTTTTGCGTACTATTAAAATGTGTTTAATGTGCACAATAAACGTGGACCACGAGAGGCAACATGAACTAGGTCGCTCAGAAATGTCTGCCCTACCTTACGTAATTTGCGTCGTCAATTTTTGAATAACCTTTTTCACAGCGGAAAAAAGATGGCGAATAAAAAAAGTGCTTGTTATGGTATCATTCTATATGCAGTATAATAGAGTGTAAAATTAATTTTAACGTAGTGCATTTGTGGTTCACAAGCAAAGTCAACTCGGATCGGAGGAGATTCCAAAAGTTTTGCTTTGTCAGGTGACTAATGCATGTATTGTCAATTTTGTTCTCTATTTTTTTACTTTTTTTGTTTCAGCATAAAACGGGAACGTGAACTGCGAATTCTGGAAGAAAAAGTTCGAATAAAAAAACTTCTTTTAGATAAGAAACAACCACCTAAGACTAAGCTGCAGGACGGCTCGAAAGATCGTGCTCCCGTATACATTTGGGCTACAGAACGCAAACGTTAATTCTTTGAAGAAACTTCCTTGTAAGTTTACCAATATCGTGAATAAAATATCATCTTCGTTTTCAAACACAAACGTCATCTATTATTACATTAAAAGAGTCTTGTGTATAAAATATGTAATGAGGCTTTATTAGGTGGCGTACTAATGTACGTCATTGCTCTACGCACTTGAAGGCGATGATGTTCTACGAACGCAACGGTATATTGTTACGCTACTTGTAGTTAATCTTGTGGTTAAGTAGCTGGATTATCTGCGGTACACACGCAAGCCGTTAGATCTGTTTTATTTACGACAGTATAGTAGTAACGTGTTTGCCTAGTCGGTCTGAATCTCGGCGTAGAATCAACGAAAATCTAAGTGACTAGGATAAGATAATATCATCTGTTTCAAATTCTACAATTTTATGGCTAACCAAAACTAGATAAGTGCGACGAGTAAATGAAACCTGCATTAGATAGACATATAAGAGCCGTTTCTTACGTCGAAGTCCCTACGCTCCAATCCATTTCCGCGAAAAAATTTAGTTACCGAATAGTGTAACAGGGAAAACTCATTTTCCTTGCATCGATTCTGGTTGAGTGTTTCAGACTATTCTTATTAGAATAAGATCATAAGCAATAATAAAAATAATAATAGTATAATAAATAATAAGTTTATTTATTGCTTGCGGTATCTTTAGAAACACGTCAGATGCATTATACAACGTTCTTAAAGTTAACCTATTTCTTCAAATCTAGGATATTCAACTTTGTCAATCATATTAATAGTCAACTTAAGGCTAACTTGCTAGTGTAATTCGATAGGATTCTATATATA